AAAACAGAGTACGGTTCGGCCCCGAACGCGATGAGCACACGATGCCATTGCGCACCGCTACCCATCTATGTAAATTGAATAATCGTAGTAAAACACAGTACATATCGCACGGTGATGAATCGATATGTAGGTAGGTATGTATATTTATCTTACCATACCTACCTAAGTACCTAGGTATCAATATGAGACGGGACGGGGGTCGACGCTATCATTTCCCGTGATTACAGTCGGAACCGTTACTCCCATCGCCACCACGATCGTGAGATCTTTAGTCAGATTGGCCATCACAAATCATCTGCTACAATGTCATATTTCCCTAGCTTCTAGCGTCTTACATGCGCCGACATAAGAAACTTCTCACAACGCTACGGATATCGATCGGGATATACCATGTGCCTCTGTAACACAGCCTGGTTTATGACCGTATCGGCGTATTTTAGTTACATGGTGGATACCCGTGGACCGACTTTGACGGGCTTGTTTCACTTTTTATACCTTAGGTATGTAGGTGTTGCTGGCTAGTGTAGTGACCGGGTTACTATACACACGCATATACATGATTATATCATATAAAATATGGTATACCATGTATACAATACGAGTATAATGAACCATTATACGTTGGGTATTACGTATTTGTACCTCAATCTTATCTCACCGCCACTACATAAGATATCGCATAAGATATCGTACGTCGACCACGCCTTGTTTTAAGCTAACCCCCATATTCCCTGCTCAAAAAACAGCACTATCAGATAGCTGCTCTTGGCCAACGTCTTTAGCAAGTCACGTTCACTTTAGCCATGTGTGTATCATAACCCGGCACGGCATGGCTTAAACAACACGAAAAGAAGCCCTAAAACTTGGCGATCTCACACGTGGCGGGTAAGTAAGACAAGACACGGGAGATTGTCTCTACCTTGTGCCGGAAACTCGAACTACTCGGTACATACCCCTCCAACTGCACGAAATGGCTTATTATACATTCGTTTACTTCGATAGTTCTAGAAACGAGGTAGGTAAAAGAACCCTTGAACCCTTGAACCCCTAAGGACCGAACAAGGATGGCGAGTATTTTTTTTTCCCTTTTTTTTCCCCTTAGACTTTTATGCGTGCGTGCTTCGTGGATCAATCTACGTTTATACTCGCGGGCTATTGGTTCTCTGGCTCGGGATGTGCTCATACATAGACAAAAATGAGCCCGTCGTACCGAAACCGAAACCGTCTCTGTGGTCCCTAGACCCAAATTCCCTTGCGGCTGAACCTCCAGACGGGTAGACATCCCACGTGGTGAAACTTACAGTACGTCCGCATAGTCTTGAACTTGTTTAAGCCGCTTGCGTTACTTAACATACCGTATACGACCTACCTATGTGCATCGGCAGCCAAATGCCGTCTATGTACAAGCCAAACCATGCGCAAGACTGCAAGTTCTGCAGTTGGCGGATGCAATGACAACCCCGGTTTTCCTCCTTGCATCGGAGTGCTTCACATACCACTACGTATACGGTATATCACATCCATACGTACAATCAACGCCTAGGTAGTGTACGGTTTCTTATCCCTTGAATCCAGGTTGTCTTCCCTTGGGTCGGGCCACCCCAGCGTTTCGGAACTTTTTGTGCGTTCAACAAGGTGAGCCCTTGCATATCTTCGCAGGGTGAATCCTAAGTCACGACACCGCATTGAACCCCTTACCCGGTAAGGCTGGGGTTAACACGCGTTTTATTGATGAGTTACCGTGGTACAGTTCACAACCCGTTTTGTCCAGGTAACCGGTGTCGCCGACAATGGTTATCTCCACTGATCTTCTAAGCTGAGTTCTTCTAGAAGAAAGGTCGCCAGGATCAGCCGCGGCGTAGCCAAGAATACTCAGCTGCTACCTTTACGAGTTTACGAGCCTTGGTCAGAGCTCAGGAGATTACATATGTATTCGACGAATGTCTACATACTGTACATATGAGGGTCTCGCGTGAGCTACAAGGTCTTCCTTCAACTCAGGAAATGACCGAGCCATCCGCCATGGATATTGCTGTCTTGGTTGGAATAAGGTTCGACTATCCAACGGGTCGAATTCGGACGGCGATGACGACGCAACTCTAAGAGTGAGGATGGCGGCAATTAAGTTCGTCCTATTTGGATTCACCGACTTGTGGATGTGCAGTGGCATTTTGCCTATTGGATACTCGACGCGTTTTAGATTTTTTTTTTGGCCACGTAGGTCCGCTGTTGTCTATTACCCGGTTCAGATCCTGTCCATCCAGCGAACAGTGCCAACTGAAGCCGAGGCTGTTATGCCTCGAACAGGCCGTATCGCTTGGATATAACCTGACATCCCCGGAGCGGTGAACTTCGCGTGTCTGACTGATGATAGCAATTTTCACACGCGTCGACCTTGTCCCCTAATCTAGGTTCCAAGGTTTGCCTTCTATGTGGTATTGATCTCCATTACTCCAATATCGTCCAGCATTTCCGCCTTTCATGAAGGCATACGAGCTTCGGCAAGCCCAGCCTCTTTGTTCGCATCCCGGCTTTGCGACCTGAGTGCTCGGGCCATTTATTGACACGGCTTACGGTGAATATTCATGTCCGTAGTGGTCTGATATTTGAGTCCCTTGAAGAGACTTTCGGCCGTATTACTTGAGCATCCCCCGGTAGCTTCGGTTGTGCCCTTTTCAGACCGGCAAGCGTGCTTGCGATTCTCTTACCGAATGTGAGACGCGATTATGCAAATATTTTATGTGATAGATGATGATGATAATACGTAAAATTTACTGTTAGATTTGCCAAAGATTCTACAAGATGAAGACCGAATTGGCGGCTAAGGAGACGCGTCATTCTGATATCTGGGAGATAACATTAAAGAATATGGTGTAACTTATTCTACGTTCCGAATATTCTTCCCCTTATACGTAATAGGTCAATGTCGGGTTTCGAGCTGCTGTTTTCTAGCCATACGGGCTTGTCAAAGTGTTCCCGTATCGGACCAACTACGATTATTACTCCGTATACTCGAGACAAACAAATAACTGAAGTTACTATGTAGTATTCCGTGAACCTACGCCCGTTGATATAGATTAATTTTATACCTGAGGCTGGAACTAGATGTCTTTCCTAACGAGTTAGGATGTAGTTGTAGCAGCATTCTTAGGACACCTTTAACCCCTAGCCATGCCAACTTCTCCATACGATATTACGATATCTATCTCTTCATTACTAGCGAGCTGTCACTTCTAGATCACATCTGGGTTTATAAATATAGGTGGCTTGATATAAACGTACTTTGGTTACTCTCATTGTGACTGAGCGAGAATCCCCGGTTCTTCCCAGTTCTTCATCTGACCTATCATAAATGTTGATAGACTACCGCACTTTTCTCTTGTCTAAGAGAAGCCATAAGGTACATACAAGTGGACGGTAGTAGTAATCCAGCGTAGAAGCCAAAACCATCATATCAATTTCAAGAAAAATCAACAAGGTAAACTCGACGTTACTAGTGTTGAGTAAGGGAGCTCTCAAGTCCTATATTAGGATTATGAGGGTTGCAGACGATAAAGAATACTACGTGGCTAGTTGGGATCTAGTTTACGTTACACGGGGTTTCTCCCTGTGAAGCTATTTATAGTAGTCAATAGTCCCTTTGTTAGGTCGGCTGGGTTCATGACGGCGGAGGTATGTATGTAGAAAGGGCCATGTGTGTTCACGTTTGGAACTAACTCCATCAGTGCTAAGACGGCCTTGAGTCCCCTCTCAAGTATCCGAAGAAACATACCTCCAAGTCAAAATTTAAAGGTACCTTTTAGAGTGGTATTATGCACGGTTGCCTTGCGAATAGCCTCAAGCCAGTTCCCCCGTACCAACCCCTCCTCGTTGCCTAGCACCTGATCACTCAGGTGGCAGACACCTACCAGACAACGAGATACACCTGCCCAAGTACCTACCCACGAAGTAAAGGTTATATATCCCAATTGCAAACCAACTTTCAACCGACGCCCCTCGCCTGGGCGACTTGAGGTTAGAGAAAACCCCACTGTGGTGTCTTATGCTGAACCGTTCTTCCCAAAAAAAAAAAGAACGTGACTTGACAGCAGATGCCAAACGAAGCCGGTTTTTCGTAGGTCTTGGGTTCGAATCCTCTGCCCCTATCCGAGGGGATTCGAATCTGGGACTGAGCTTTTTTGCTTTTCTTTTTTTCTTTTGTCCGTCTGTCTGCCTTTTTACCTCCTCAATGAACACTTGCCTGATGCATGCACACACACACACACACACACACACACACTACATGCCAATATGAATTAATATAGAGTAATTGTTTAATAAAATATTGCGCGTCCATAATATGCTTAGTTTCTACCAGCGCAAACCGTCGTCGTACCTTACGTATCTGACTGACCTTACGATTTGGCTTATGATTACCAGCTAATAGATCCTAATGACTTGCAAAAAAAACAGTAAAAAGTCAGCTATGATTAACTGATGAATGAGGTTAACCCACAAGAAATGGTGCATGTCCAAACACATGGCGAACGGGGTAACTTTCTATTCTCATGATACAACTTGTGATAATGTACTACCTCTACCGGACCCTGCAGCAACACGGTGAGATGGTAGAACTAGAGCCACGAATGTTAAACCAACGTTCGTTTTTTACGCGTACGAGGCGAGACCGAAGTTTTGGATATGGAGTTGTATCTTTACGTATATATAGATAGCATCGGCCATACACTAGACCAGGCGTATCAAATCAAGCCGAGACAGTTCAAATTTCTAGCATTCATGACTACAACTCCAGGGGTATATACCACTCCTCCTCCTCCACCTCATCTCATCTCATCTCATCTCATCTCAGACCATGCTAGATACTCTCCCCCCTGAGCCAGTACTCCCCAGCCCATAGAGATGGTTAAACACAACAAAAACGCTCAGATGCGAGTATACCGGAGCCCAACGCCAATGCATACGCAAGTTGCAATTTTGAAAGCACCTATTAGTATATTTCTTCACTCTAACTCCGCCGGAAAGCTGTTATTGCCTACCCCTGGCGGTTGCGCGGCGTGTGACGCCGAAGCCTGGGGGCGGTGGCACTGTCCGCTGGACGGACGACTCTTGTTCACGCGCAGCGGCTCGGGTACGTAGCTATTGCTCCCTACGCTGTGGGACGGGGTATGGCCGTACGGCGCTGAGTTCCCTGGCGGCGGTGGCGTGACGTGGCCGAAAGGGGTAGACATCGGTCTGGGTTGTTGCTGTTGCTGTTGCTGTTGCTGTTGCTGTGGATAATACGGTGCTGCAGGCTGTAGTCCCTGAGGAGCGGGATATGGAGGATAGCTCATAGACGAGTGATTCGAATGGACACTCCCACTCTGCATACTCGAACTCGTGCGTTGATGACCCACGCTCTGGCGTTGCGCCGTAGAAGAAGCGCTGGCTACGAGTCGCTCTACCAAGACACCATGGGCTTTCTTCAGCGTCTTCTTGACGAAGGAGGACATGACGAAGTTGCATCTTAGCTCGACGTCCTTATACATAGATCAGTTCCAACCTCTCAAGAATATTAGAGTTAAGAGTATATATATATATATATATACTAGCTTAGCTTACCTCCCGTAAATAAAGACCCTGTCTCGGCGCCCCAATCCCCAACTCAACCGGCTCAGGCGGTTCTCCCGGCAGCGTGCCGCCGAGGCTCCAGCGCTCGCGGATATCCGTGCCCATGGGGGCATACACATGGGTCTGGATGCCGCTCGGCAAGTCATGAAAAGCAGCCGTGTAGGTGACATCTCCGGAGACGACGCCGCCGGGCAGATACGAGATCTTGTCGGTCATGCTCCACCAGGCGCAGCGGCGCTCCTCGGCGGGGGCGTGCGGCGGCGGGTCGATGGGGTGCCGCTCGATGACCAGCGGGTTCAGGTCGATCATCTCCACGTGGTTGTGCAGGAAGTCGACGACGACCTCGCGCGTGATGCCCGCCGGCAGCGGCGAGATGGTCGTGAACGTGCTGCGCTTCGACATGGCCATTGCGCACCACTTACACGCACATACGACGATTTTTTTTTTTAAAAAAAAAAAAAAGAAACGAGGCGGAACGATACCCCCCGAGGGCGAGGTTGGGGACGCGCCAAGAGAAGGAGGAATTACACTAGGTTAGGCTCAAGCCTTACGCGACCTGGGAACCGGAAACCTAGGTAGGAATGACTCGCGGAGAGGGACCGCTTGTAATAGGCTGCTGCGAAAGCGGGATGAGCGTGAGATTAGATAAACGAGTATTAAAGAGGTAGGTTAGGTACCTATGTTGCTAGCCGCGGCAACGAGTCTGCGGGATCGAACCTAGAACAAACAAACAATTCGCGGTTAGGTATATCGAATGAATGTAAGGGATCTGGGGGATCTACTATAGTAAGTCCTATAGTAAGCTGATCAACACAGCGACGACAGGATCAAAGTTAAGGGGAAGTAAATAAGTATAAAGAAAAAGTCTCAAAAGGTCCCAAATGGTATAGTTATTTCAATAATACCCAAAATGTTCTATAATAAAGGCTCATCCGCACTGCATAAAAAGTGTTTCATTAAGCAGAAGCTGAACTCTTACACTGGTAAGGTTAAAATAAAGACGAAACAGGGATCATCGTCCCTTCGATTGATTGGTCCCGCTTGTCAGGCGATTAGCAGGGTGCGTGCAGCGTTGGCGTTTCTGGTCGCCTCTCCTTGCATCATGAGGCTATGGCTATTCGACTTGGGGCTTGACCACTCCGTCCCAAAAATAGAACGGGCTTACGGGTAGATACCTATGCGCTATGTACTCCATCACAAAATACCCTGGTTGGTTCGTTCGTACGCTATCGATCCTAGAATGCCTAGGAGGTAGACGATAAAGACTAGTACAACAGTTGGTGTAAATAAATGTATTTATATCTTGTCACCTAGTTCGCGGCTATCTTCGCCCCCGACAGGCTGAGCGGTGACCGGTCTAACGGTTTTATGGTCATTCATTATTCAGATCCCGACGCCGCAAGCCATCTATAGTAGCTCCATGGTAGCTTAGATCTGACTGCACCACCGGGAAAGGAATCCCGGCAGCTCGCATGCCGTAGGAATTTCTTCCAGTACAACATCGAGCTTCCACATCTTGCCCTCCAGACCGCCATGCGCAGCGTTACTCCGGCCTCCTATACCGGCCGGTATTAGTATGCCAAGTGACACTAACCGTTCCCAGGCTACTGCGGCGACACTTCGACCCCAAGTCCTTGCGCCCGCTCCCAGGGCTAGCATACCAGACGAAGCTGACTGCACTCGTTGCTTTCCCATCTGGGAACTATATTCGTCATATGCCATGGCAAAATTTACTGTGTCAGTATGAGCGACGATGTCGAGACGGGCTGCTGAAATGAGTAGCGCCAGCTCTAGATCCGACAGTGTTGCTAAAAGATGAAGTTTTGATTCCGAAGGTTCGAACGAAATGCTGATTGATGAGGGCGAAGGTATTGATAGATTCAGCGAGGAAGTCGAAACTACTGAGAGAGGTAGAATGCACGATGTAAGAAATGCCGGTACAGATTTTGTCGTATAGTAGTGGTATTCTAAATGGTCCTCGAAACTCGGGTTCTTGCGTAGAGCCTAGAATGTATTAGTAGAGTGTATATGTATGATAAAAGCATACCAGCGACGTCTTACCTCGATTTTCTTCTCCCAGTAATCTCGGAACTCGTATAGTCCTTCCAAACTAGTGTCGAACCCTTCTTGACCAAGATCCTCCTCATCAACAGACAGTCCCTGCTTACAGACATCCCAATAGGCTGGTAATGTTTTTGGAAGAGACATGTAGACATATCGGTGGCTAAACCGACTTTTTACTCTCTTCTCCAAACTCTCTACCACATCTATTCTTGTAGTTAACCCTACCACTGCAATGGGGGCTTTCCTTGCCTGAGCAATATCGAATAGGTTGTATAACAGTGTTTGGCGTGCGTGTGTCGCAAATAAGTCAAACTCGTCAATAATGAAGACGACGGACTTAGATGTTACACCGTCCTCGGCTCCCGTAATTTCTGCGGGATGAGACAGGAGAGCTAATAGTGAAGCCATTGTATCGGCATAGTTGTTTGTCTGGGTTGGGTTAGCTGCTGTACTATTCAATATATATGAAGCCTTTATACCTTATTTATCAGATCATCTTCAAGATTCATCTCCTTGCCGAGTTGCCGCCAGATCTCCTTAAGAGCTAGCTTATCATCGGTGTGGATGAAACCATTGAGGCGAACTACATGGAATTCCTCCTGATGTTCAGCCCTGAGATTCGATATGACTTCTTCCATCAACTAGTAACATAATTAGCAACCTCTAGTACTCGAGGTAAAATTGTATAAAGCATACCGTAGTCTTTCCAGACCCTCTCGCGCCAATAACCATCATCGAATTGCCTTCGCCGGCTAAGACCGTCTGTTCTACTAGTTGAAACGCTTTGTCGTAAGCTTCGGTCTGACCACAAAGCTTAATGAGACGGTTTCCAGAACATCGATCTAACAGCACGCGCTGCATGTGTCGTAGGTGCTGCTCAAAATTGGGAATGCTGGGAACTTCAGACACGTTTGTCACATGTATCTGTTTCTTTGGAGTCGCTTTCGCGCCTGGTAGAATATCGTCTTGCGAGCAATTCCTACAGATCCAGTCGCCTTCCGGAATGACAGGTACATCGTAGCACTTCTGGTGCACCGCCATATCACAATTCTCGCAAAAGATAATCTCATTCGGCGGCTCGGAATCCGGCTTCGAGCATATGGCGCATACTTCATCGTCCTCGCTATCTTGCGTCTCACTCGCTTCTTCTTCTTCAGGAGATGGCTTATTAATAGTGACGGCTTCCATGACCTTTCCTCGGGCCTTCGGCTTCGTGGGGTTCGACTGGATATCCTCAAAGAAAACCTCATTCTCCTTCCCACTATCTCCGTCGTTAAAAGCGACATTCTTGCGTGGTCGCCCTAACCTTTTCTTTTGCGGCGACAGTATCCCCTTAATGGGTGGTGGCTTGTCAGGTGAAGCATTCGCATTGCGCCTTGGGAGCTGAGCTTTATTCGGTTTGGCGCTAGAGACAAGCGCATCGACCGCAATCTGAGCCTTCGGGGGCCTCCCCCTTTTTTTGGGTGTATCTACCTGTTCAGTCTCATTCTGAACTGGAACAGCCGACCCCTTTTTCCGGGACTCCAACAAGCGTGTGCTTACACTCTTCTTTGAGGAAGCGCTTGGTGTCCCTACAGTACTCTTCTTTACCGGCGGTGTAGATTGAATCTCATCGTGACTCTCATCTGCTGTCCCTCGAGCACCTCCTGCCTCTTCATCCGAATCGGGCACCTCATAGATGTTGCTAGGAAGACGTTGGCTAATATTTGGTGGCCTGAGGCCGAGCTTCTTATGCTTGATGGGGAGGCTCTGTATCTTTTTAATAGCTTCGCCATCGCTTTGAGATTCGGGTACTATGTAGGAAGTATCGGTGGTCGGTTTCGTCTGGTTGGCGCGGGTACTACCCTTCGCGCCCCCTTTTCGATTTAGTCCGAGAGCACCGCCAATGGCAGAAGTAATGGCAGAGAAGCCTTTCGGGGTGGAGGGCGAGGCGTTCGCAAGACTATCGAGGCGGCGTCTCTTGACAGAAGCGGATACGCTTGGTGTGACGGCGGGTGACGAGTCTAGCTCATCTTCATCTTCAAGACGACTTCGCTTCCGTCGGCGAGAGGTAGGAGTCTGAGCAGTTGTCATGGTGCAATTGGGAGTGCATATATGACGACAGCGTATATTAAATATTAGCTACAAGGAACTTTGGCCATATTAAGGTATTCCACTTCCGCAAGTTGTATTATTACATAGTACGATGTTGGTCATGACTTAAGATGCTCCAGATAAAAATGGCCCCTAAGCAAGACCCAATAAAACGCGACACGCCTGTTTCAATTTACGCGTGTATTAATCTAGGGTGCGCGATATGACTAAAACCGCTAACCCCGCTAAACCACTAAAACATAAGACATTAAAACATAAAAACACTTGAACATAAAAAACATTAAAGCATAAAAACACTAAAATACCTAAACAGTAAATCAGTAAAACACGACCACACTCCAATCATATTTTTCAACTCAAATATTTTTAATTAATTGTTGATCAAATAGCTACCATTCAACAATCATCCTCTCAATAGTTTAAAATCTTGAGCTCATATTATCTCATTCATTCATTCATTCATTTCGGCGAGGGGATTTAATATCCATACAATAAGTGACTACTTACAATCCTTTAGGGAGCAAGGTGTGCTATCAATCATGACCAACGTACTAGGTACTACAAACAAAATAGATCTTCTCGTGAGATCTCAGCGTCTTAGAAAACCTAGCTTAAGCACATCTAAGCGCCAAGTGGTTCTGGATTTCAAACCGCCTCTGCGGACTCTTCATATAACCTAACGTTAACGCCTTTATTTGGCTTCCCAACGATCTCCGTCTCGATCTGTTGCGCGTGCCAGTCTCCGTGGTATTCGATGCGCTCGTACTTCTGAAGGATTCGTACCACTAGAGTCGATTAATTAGCGATCTCCCCTTTCCCCTTACGCTAAGTGAGTATAGCTCGTCTAGATGCTTACTGCAATACGCCATTTCAGTCATGGCAAAATTCTCTATAATAAAGGAAGTCAGTATAAATGTCTGATGTCGATTGTGCCTCGGAGAACAAGAACTCCTTAGTGAACTCAATCGGGGATTATAACTCCTAAGAGGCTAAAAGGGGGATAATTCGATGTGACATACGTCCTACACAAATACGCGGACCACCGTTGAAAGGCAAGTATTGCCACGGTTTCGGTGTCCAGTTCTCCCACCTCTCAGGCGAGAATATGGAAGGGTCTTCGAATTTCTCTGACGCTGGGGGGTATAGATCCTTTCGGCGGTGCATCGAGAGGGAGCTATAAACCACGAAATCGCCTTTCACAACCGCAACAGGCGGAATACCCGGGCCGTTCGGGAGTGTCGTGTCCTCCAACGCGGTACGTATGTTGAAAGGCACGGCGGGATACAATCGCAAGGTCTCGTTTAGAGTGTGTCGCAAATACGACATATTCTTCAGGTCCTCATATGTGGGAGTTCGCGTTCGACCGACGGAGTCGATGATCTCGCTACGAAGCCTATTGTACTTATCGGGATAGTGGGATAATTCGTAGAACGCCCATGATAGTGTTGCGGCTGTCGTGTCGCGCCCGGCTAGGAGCACGGCGATGATCTGGTCACGGATTACCTGACGGTTACGAGTGTATCGTGCAATACTGTGCAGGAAAGTAAAGTGCTTGTCAGAGTTCGACAGCTTCTCTAACTCCTCTTGTGGCAGCGCCAACGCATGCTCGATGTACGGCATGATGAATTGTTCTATCTTCTTGATCCCATCGTTATAGGCACCACGGGAAATTAAGGATTTGAATGGTCTATATCGACGCGTTAGTAGAATAGCAAACGATAACTGGGGGCTCAAGATTTATATTGGTCATTACCCAACTGTTGTGAGCATCATCTGGATCCTTTGCACATCGTTGAATGCTTTTACAAACTCGCCCTTAGGACTTGGCTAAGTTAGTAACAATTGCCTTAACGAGATATTTGGCAAGGGGGGCTTGTATACTTGCGCAGACTGTCAACACTCGCTCCGAGGAGGAAGTCTGTAGTCACATCGAGCGTCATTCGGTAAAGGAGGTCCATAATATTCACAGTCTGTCCTGAGGAGGGAAGTGTGATAAGGAGTATGGACACCCATCTCTCGAACGTCGCTAAGTCGCTAACCCTGTCCTTGATGAACATTGGCCTGATCAGGCCGCGGCTATCGTGCCAAAGCTGGCCGTCAGTTGTGAAGATGGAATCACCGAGGAAAGGCCGCCATAGATGGTGGAACTCTTCCCCCTTTCCGAAGTCAGAGAACTGGGTCGTAAGTACTGCCTTAACATGCTCCGGGTCCCTCGTGAGTATGTTTCTCTCTCTCGGCAAGAATCGGATCTCCACGCAATTCGGGCATTCGGGAGGTGCCGAGTCGAAAAAGCTATTGAAATGCTTCAAGAGCTGGTGATTCCTCTGCGCTTTGGCCGCAGCATAGAACCACGTCATCGCTTTGTATATGAGTCAGGAAAGCTACTTTCAAATTTGAACGGACGCCGTCTTCCTCGCGCGGCTCTCCGAAGCTGGGCTTACCCGTGATGGGGTCATTTGCAAGAGTATGCACGCGCGTGCCGCCTGTCTTTCTAATCCTAATCTCGTGTCTTGTCCATTGAACTGCATAGTAGACTACTATGAAAACCAGTGACGATATACTGGCCACCGCGATATGAGTAAACGACACGTCTGTCAGCATTATGACTTGATGCTGTCATGAGTATCTAGTAATACTCGCAATATACGTGGATGAAAATGCTTCTTTGTTTTGTAGATATATCTTCTAGAGTCTATCGTCTATAAAACCTCAAGATGAGGAAAGATACGAAGTCACTCAAGAGGCTTCCATGAACCTCGGCATGTCAGATTTCTCCATCTATGTTCGGAACAAAAGTCTAAGCTCGATTGGCTCTCTTAGGGGGTCCCTGGTCAACAATTACGAATTTAATGCGATGCAAGCCCCTCAATTGACCTCATCTTTTTATAGTACATGTCTATGCAGATAATACAAAGTGACGTAACTGCTCAACCAGTTGCCCAATAAGTCCACCACTGTTCAGATGAGATCGGCTCACTACATCCCTCCATGTGTGAGATGACCTGTTTCCTTAATGGCCATCGGGGTTTTCCACGTCCATGTTGTCCGCCGCCTCTTCATGGACGGGCTGTTCGGGGATAGGTGCTGCAGGACATACGGTCCACACGTCGCCGTATTGGAACATCACCTCCTTAAACCGCTTATCGTCGCACTTGGAGCTCTTCCAGTAGGGGATGCGCGTGAAGATTTCGTGCCGGGCTACAGGAATATCCGGTAGGCCCATCGCACGGGCACGTCGGCGGTTCAGGATAGATACCTTCTCGCAAATCTTCAGCATCTCCTGGGTGAATGGCTCAAATTTAGGCCACTGGCCAGCGTAAGACCGTATATAGCTGACGTATCTCATATCGACCCTAAGAGGATATAGACCCTTGTCGTAGAGGGCGTCGAGGGCTTTTCGGACGTTAAAGATATCGATCTTCTGTAGAATGAAGAACCTCTCTTCATTAAGAGTTCCGATTACTTCCGTCCCTTTGACGATGTTGTCGAGCTCCCACATGAATGCTGCGACCGATGTCTCCATGTCTTGCGCAGTCGCCACCCATGCGTTAAAGACGCCATCTGCGATTTCCGTATCTCGCTTATGTGCCTCGACATTGCTTAGGCACTTTTCGAGATTATGGATTGGCCCCAAGAACATGCCCTTGAAGAAACCGAAGGGCTGTGCATGATTCTTGACCCTAAGACAGATCGCCTTCTGTAGACAGTATCTGAATAGTGTCAAGTTGGCAGACCAGATGTCGTGAGGTAAGATCTCACAGAGGTCTCTTAGAATCTCGTCCTCATCGTCACCGATTCGCAATCCCCAGGTGAAGAGGTCGGAAGGGCTTCGCTTAAAGAGGTGGACCATCATCTTCCAAAACTTTGGCAGATAGGCTGTATCCACTCTAGCCTTGACCATCGCCTCGTCGGCCTCGGTCCAAATAATTCCGAGTTCTTCGTCTCTCGAATTGTCATTGATGCTGTAGCGGAAAACATTGTTAAGGCCAGCATTGCTAAGCCTAGGTTAGTAAATGCTTACAATTGTTATAATAAGAAATCCATTCTACTTACTCAAAGCCATGGACCTGGTCAGCAAATCCTGCAGCAGCCATTTTTGATGATTGATTTTCCCTTGGTGTTGGGTAGTAGGTAGTTAGTGGTATGGGATGAAGAAGATGATTCCCCTTGTCTGTGGGTGTGTCTTACTTGCTGTGGTAGGATGGTGGATGGATGGAGGATTGGTTTTGGGAGGCAAGTCTTTAGAAGTTGGGGTGTGAAGTTGGGTTGTGAACTTGTTGGTTGAGAAAATCGAAATGCTTTCTGTGGGTGCTGGGGGTATGTATTTATAAAAGTTCTTGCTTAGAGGGGCCTTCTCAAAACTTATCTGCGACTTCTCTCCTTGGGAAAGACGTGACACGAGTATATATACCACACATTGATTGCCAGGCAGTCTGTTGCCTGCATCAGGGTGTTTGGGTGAGCTGTGGAGTATGCTAAGGGTCCCTCAGTCATGTGTTTCCAGATTCCCGGGTCAACCTATTGATGCATAGGCATAGCAGTGACTCGATAATCCCCCAAGAGTATGCTGTTGCGTGTGGAGAGCATTCGTTCTCAGAGATTATGCGTCAATGCACAATACGTACCGGCACACGACCTCTATTAATAAGGCAGATGGCATGAGTCAAGGTAAGGTATATGGCAAGAGACAACGCTTGCCATCGGGTACGTATAAAGAAGAAATGCTTCCACAAGGTACCAAGCGCAAATACGTACCACCAGACGTACCAGACGTACCAGACGTACCAGACGTACCCGACGTACCAGGCGAACCAGACGTACCTGACGTACCAGGCGAACCAGACGTGCCATAGAAGGAATCTTCACCTACTCATAATGGTCGCAGTCCTGGCAACGGCTGAGGGTTGTCACGCTTATAACAAACAGCATTCGTCAGGACGTTCAGCAATTCCTAAGGAAGGATCTCCATTGTCCCCATAGCAATGAGGCCACTATGAGGTTTCTTCTGCGTCCGTGTGTGTGGATGGGTGTTTCTTTTATCCTGTAAATCATAATAAACCAACACGCCTGCTCGCCAGTACAGCCCTACGTCACTAGGATGACTGGATTGTAACTGTGGCCTTCTATACTAGGAGCTCAGGGAGTACTCTAGACGTCTAAAGCGCCAGAGATGCGCCGCTGTCTCTACGTAGGTAGCATATAGCAGACCAATAGACGTAAACGTTATCATCATCATATACTAGGAGCTCAGTTGAAAAATCTTGGTTCAGCAAGAATCTGACGGAAGTGCCAGGGTTCTATGAGAGGTTCCTAGAAGAAAACGGATGTCTTTGGTATGTTAATCGCTGGTTTCCATAGCTGTTAGGGTGCTGACGAGACATCTAGAACAAAGGATATCTCTAGTATGTATAGCTCAAGCTTCCCCGTCTAGGTTTGGAGTTCCTTACGAAACAACGAATTACATCCATCCATGCCTTTGAGGTCCATCTCGTGACATGGAGAGACATAATTTATAATAGTTGGGCTGCGATTTTGGGTGGCGAAATAACGAAAGGGGGAGGGGGGATTGTCAACAAAAACTACTGAAGTTGGTTACAAAAAGGACAAGGGAGGACATATTTTCACTGCAACGTGTAGTTGTTGAACAGCGGCGAAGCTATACAGTAATTATTTGTTACCGATATACTCATCCAGGGACAGGAATATAGTAGGCACCTTATATTATACACTATCAACTTTATAGAGGAGTAGATTTTAGTCAAGTGACAAAGGCAATCTATTTCATCCGGTAAAACTATTAGGAACAACTTAATCTTCACGTATCTCTTAAGGTTTGACTTGTATAGTACATATGTATGTAGGCGCTAATGGCTCTATGTATGGTATGTTTGAAGATACTCAATAGTCATGATTGATTTCCTGCTATTTGTCATGAGGTGGAGCAAGAAGCAAGGAAACAACTTTGTTGATCTGTAAGGAACTTTAAGCTACCTAACTATAGGAGCCGATGGCTATACATGCTGAAAGTATATTTTCTTCTGGAAGAGACATCTAGAATCCTGATATTACTTTCACATTAGATCATGTGATGTTATATATATTCAAATTTATACTTCTTGATAACAACAATCTATTACAAAATACACAAGGCGCTGATCCGACAGATAGTATGGAAAATATATCGTCCTTATATATTAGGTAAATTAAACAAGATATAACTCTCCCTTATCGCATTTTACCATGAATGATCTTAATAAGCAAGTCCTTGTACTGAACATTAGTGTGAGCTCAGTCCTGTGAAAAAGCTATAAGGACTTAAAAAGGCTTTTAACACGTTATATCTATTTAGCTCGAGAAACTCTTAACTATTAGGTAAACTTTTACAATATCAATACACAGTTGAGATATCCTCTACTTTCTATATCAAGTCGCAACACCAGCCCTAGCATCCCCACCATCAGGGGCCCTACCCTGTCTCCTCTCTTCTTTAACAGCTTCTCTCTTAGAAGCCTGCTCTTGCTTTTTGCTATTCGAAATATCAGCAACCTCTCTCTTCTATTATTTCTAAAATGGCACACTCCAAACTCACCGATCAAGGTCGCTGGCTAGATCTGGTTGCGATCCACTAGCACCCGGTTTGCGCTCAACCGCACTAGCTACGTCACCCTCGCCCGGAGCGCGCATCTGGTCGCCATCCAGCTCTTTGTTTCGACCGACTTGCTCGTAAGTACGGCCATACTTTTCCTCTCCAGCGGGCGCACCGTGGATCCCGTACCCTAAGCTCGAAGGTACGGCATCACCGAGGCCAGAAGGTTGATCAGACGGTGAGCGCTTGTCTACGGGCTTTCCGTGTGTGTGGTGTTGCGCGCTGTGCTGCTCTGAAGGGTTTGAAGAAACGGGATTTCCTTCCGTCTTGTATGCTGTATCCTTAGGAGGCTGCGCAGGTCCTGAAGGATTCATCTTGACTAATAACCGATGTTTAGTGTCGTTATAATATTTAGTATTATATATATCTAAAGTATATCGTATACGATGGCGAGATAGTAATAGATAGGTTGTGTATTGTGAGGTGAAGAATTATATTGAATCTTGGCTCCGCGACGCAATAAAGACAGCTTTTAGTCGATGACGTCGATAGACAACCCAGAATAGGGAATTGCCCAAATGGTTTAAACGCCAAATAAAGTAGTGCGACCGCATCAGTATGGTGCCACTCATCCAATCAGAGATCCAGAATTCATAAGGGTGATATAACTTAATAAAGATCTTATATACCTTTCAGAACAACTTCGGCCAATCGTATTTAAGGGTACATACGTTACAGCACCAGAAAACGCATATAAAATTTGAGGATAAAAGAGTTTTTAGAAAATAGACATTTAAGAAATAAAATGGAAGATAAAAATAAAAAGGGGCAAAAAAAAGGGGGTGAGATAGAATAGGGTAGAAAAAGAAGATAAAAAAAATGATGCAGAACAACGGCCATGGTCTTGTGTGATAGAAGAAGGGGGTTTGAACTAACCTTTTTTTATCCTGGGTTTTTATGGTCCTTTTTAATCCGGCAAGCTTACATAGTAAGCGATTTCCTTGGGTCCTTTTTTTGGTATTTTTATGGCCTATGAGCTTGATGTTAGTCTAAAGTCTGCAAGTGAAACTACTTGACTATAGCACGTTGTTGTGCGGGTGATAGGCAGGTTGGGTAATTTGGTACAAGTACGCCAGCGAGGTACGATACGCCAATAAGGGGCGAGGGCAAACACGTGTCGCGTACGCAAGGTACTTGTTTACGTAGGATGTAATGTCTCGTAGCTTCAGCATATCACTTCTATCATTAGCTACGATATTGGGTGGGCTTCGAAGGAAGACCGGGACGATGGCCTTTTAAGACGCAACATTGATGAGAAGTGCATCACTGACACTTGATTGAATGACAAGCATTTAAGGGGGTTCAAAGTTGCCATATCTATAACTCTCACTCACTAAATACATTTAGATATACAAGTTCATCGTTTATATCTATGACATGCGTATCTAAGAGCATTAACAACTACCAACCATCTGAGGTTACTCGTTGGCTTATAAAATCCGGATATAGTTTATAATGCAATACATGGTTCATATACCTTATTGTCTTATTGCAAGCGTTGGCGGTGGTGTTTTATCCGCGTACCGAAGCGCTTCTTCACCGAACTACTAACAACAAGCACCGACAACACTAGGACATGTGAGATTAAGGGTGCTCCAACGTGAGAGGAGAATCTGAGACGTTACAGTTTTGCCTATATGCCAACAATATTTCAAATAAGTCTACAGGCGGAAGGAATTTATATATAATATAACGCACTAGGTACATGGTCGAATCTAGCCGAAACCGACGGTTCTATCGACGGTAAGTAGGGTGGGATGCGATACAAACTGCTGATCACCGTGTTGAGATATAAGAGTACTATCATATATACGCGATATATATGGAAAGTTGTATATATTTAGACAGGCCTTAACCTGAGGACATCTGGGCTACCTTGTTAGGGATAAATACAGGGCTAACTATGCTACACTCTTTATACACTCATTAGATAGGTAGATAGTCAGAGCTTACTCTCCTAGTCATACAATACCCTCACTCTTCAGTGACCCTTGATACGGCGCGTTGTGCCATTGCCTCCTTACTGGTAAGCGTCTACGAGGCTTATCACTCGTCTATTTGCCCCTTCTGCATACCTAGTCCTCGGTCCAGCCCCAGTCCTCCTTTAGTATATCGTCCTCTAAAGTGTCCCTGCAAGTGACCCATACCTCTTCCCGTGCGATGGATATCTTTTCTTTAAACCTTATCTGTTCCTCTGCATTTCTCATGGTCGGACGGCTGGTAGGTCGCTCGGTGTCTTTCGAGCCGCTTCTAGTATATTGGCGCAATCTATCGATAAATCTCTCACAGTAGTCGTTCGTAGTGAGAACACGGGGAGTGTATAAGTCCTCCTGAGTTATAAACTCTAGCGGAGAATCTCGCCACCATCTTCTCGCAAGTTCGTGGTACCTAGGACGGCGCACTGCATACTCGAAAGGTGATATGATTTTCCTAAAATAATACCAATCCTGCGACCGTCGGCATTCTACATCAGGCCGAGGATGAAATGGATCCGCCCCGAGGTCGAAAAGTAGATCAACTATGGCATAATGTTCAGCTTCCAGAGCTACCATCATAGGTGTCTCAGAGCTGATGTCGAGTGCATTGATATCCATCCCAGCTCTGCATAGGCGTCGTGTGAGTGAAAAGTTATCATATTTTACGGCCAGATGTAACCACGGCCTAGGTTCTTTAGAAAACGACAGTAGGCCACGGTCCATAAGAAAATGACAATATTCCTCACCCTCGGAATTCAGCGCCTCCGTGAAGAGATTTTCAATTTCGTCGTTAGAAAACTGGAAATCCAGGCAGAATGATAAAATCCGTTGAGAGCAATCGTCTGGGGGACTGCAAATTATTTCATGTGCCCAGTCATAAGCAGCTTTCTTTGCTCCCTGTGAGGATGCCCCGTGACGCATCAATATCTTTGCAGGCTCGTAGAGGCGTTGCTCCAGGCAATATTGAAAGAGCTCGTCAAGATATCCGGTCCGAAAACTTTGTCGGCCTGCTGAGCAGAGGAGAGCGCTGAGGATTGGTTGACCCTCTATGCCATCATACCTATTATATGAAACAGCCCTCTCTAGAGATGTTTTAGAATCCGCCTTAGAAGGAACATCTAGACGAGCACCTGCTGCAACTAAGGTAGCTCCCTTTATAGCAATATCTATAGTGTCTTCAATATCCCATATGAGATCGATTGGCTTAAGCTGACGACCCCCTGTACATTTCTCTATATCAGCTCCCCCTATGATGAGTTCATGAACTGCCGTGTTGGTGCCTCTTCGTATGGCAATGCCGAGGGGTGTATCTAGTCCATTGCAAGGTGCATCTACATCGGCCCCGCGCATGATGAGCTTCTGGAATAATTGCCTTTGCTCGGATAGTATTACCTTATCATCCTCATCCGACAGGAATACATGATCTTCCCCTACCCACAAAGCACATTCTGCCAATGGAGACATGCTCCCTGGACCTGTGTTGCTTAGGTTCACCCTTGGCCTAGCATCCAAAAATAACATCGCACTGGAGAAATTTCTGCATTGAATGGCTGTAGTTAGAGGAAGTTCCGAATCCTGTTCTTTGTGTATATCAGCACCAAGCTCTAATAAGGTTTTGATCATATTAGTCGCCTTCTCGTTATCAGATTGTCTCATCGCGTGATTCAGAGGTGTCTCGAGCTTGCGGTCAAGTTCATCGACATCGATTCCCATTGTTAGAACGAGGTGCTTTACAACGGCTGGTAAGCCATAGAAGGCGGCACTGTGTATGGCAGCTTCTCGGAACTTGTCTTCAGGAGCGTCTCGTCGCCTAAACCACATATTGGCACCACGTGATAATAGAGTCAAGGCCGTAGACTCCTGGCGCATTTTGATCGCCGTGTATAATGGTGAGTGAAAATACGGAACAGCCTTTCGGGCATTGCTATGATGTCCAGACGAGATTTCCCCGGAGGTCCTAGGATCCGTTGGTACTCCATGGTCAAGTAACCAGCATACAGCAGCGTCTTGTCCCAAACGGGCGGCGGAATTCAGGGGAGCGCCATTACAAGCTATGCCTAATGCTAAATTATACTTGTATGCTTTTTCTAGGATATCGATCCTGTTTTTTGTGGCAGCCCAGTGAACAGCAGACCTTGGGTAACGTCTACCATCAGGGCCGTCAGGGGCTGAGAAAACTGCATTCGTTTTCCATAGGATTGGATCAAACGCGTCGCGTAGTCGCGTGTTGACACGGGTAAGAGATGCGAGCGCTTTTTGATCCGCTACGATGTCTCCGGTTTCGGTACGAATCGTAAGGAAGCCGGCTATCATATGCGATATTTCTGCGGGTAGTTGATCGAGCGCAGCCATAGTTGTTGATACGTTCAGAGGAGAGTATAGTTAATTATAATGTATATAAGTTAAGTTTTAGTTCGTTGAAATGATGGCGCTAGAAATTGGTACCTGTTACAGCCCAGCCCAGCCCAGCTACGGCATTGCTTTTTGGAGGAAAGTGGACCAACTGGCACAGACACCTTTCACTTATGTCATCTTTTAAATTAGGCGAATAGACCAAGTTTATTGTCTCAAGATGCATGTACTTCCATGTACAATTATTTTGTTTCGGTTTTTAAGAAACAACTCATAAAAACTCACGTTGATCCGTGCGTTGAAATATAATGTAAAAAAGGCCACTTTAGAAATAATTGCAGGATAAAGTTCTGTCAGACAAAAATGTCTGTCCGATACATATGAAATGTCATAGAATAAAGTCTGTTACCAAATAACCTTTTAGTGGTGGTATAGCGGTTGTTCGACAAGTTCTTACGCGCAAAGAGCTTAGTCAAAGTTTCTCTTGATATATGCTCAAGCTAAAGCACTTTGCCTACCACCCAAGGTTTAAGTAAAAACTTAAGCAGTTATAAAGCTTCAACTTTAACTAATAACGTTATCTAGGCATTATCGGGAGAACTACGGATAAGCAACATGCTATGCCTATATAATACCTGGGCCCCACCGGTAGTAGACATATTTGTCTTTCACCAAATCTGCACCAATCTGAATCAAATTTGATGACGCATCTCCAAACCATTGGATAAAGCTCCAGTACGTAGTGACCAAAAACCACATAATCTGAAGATGGCTCGACCAAAGCGCGAAATGCGCGCAGCTGTAGAGGAGTCAACTACGCCTCCCGACCAACTCAAAGAAGCGCAGTCGCTCGCAAGAGTGATCAAAGCTGAGGGCAACAACCTTTACACCTGTTCTCTACCCGACCAGCGCACCATCCTTGTCGAACTCGCTGCGCGCTTCCGCAATACCATCTGGATTAGACGTGGGGGATTTGTCCTCGTTCATCTGACTCCCCCCGAGGAGCGAAAGGGTAAAGTGGAGGGTGAGATTGTGAACGTTGTGGGCATCGAGAAGGAATGGCGCAAACAGAGCTACTGGTTAGTAAACTCAGCATTGATGTAAGTATAGGTAGTGAAACTAACACCATGTCTAGGCCTAAAGAGTTTGCACGGTTTACCTATGAGGACGACGAGGATGAAGACTCGACTGTTGGCAAGATGCCGCCGTCGGATTCGGAAGATGAGAACTGACTGCATATCGACTAATCCGGCTGGACTCAAGCGTTTTTGCGTTCTCGTGAAGAATCAGATATCTGCGCCGCATCTTCGTCCTCCCGGAAAGCTATCAAGGTGACAGTTATAGCTAGGACACCAACTACAACGCCCGAACTAATAGGGGTACTTGGGAAGACGTTCCATGCCCACTCTTGGAGAGCCCAAAGCCCATATTGGACGACAGGGTGGGCTCCGCTTCGCCAGAGGAGGTACGGGGTGGACCATGCGAGATATGAGTAGAACTGGTAGTGTAAAGTACGCGCGAAGAGAAGCCCGATGACGTTTGCCGAAAGAATGGTCGTCATCACATAGTTGGGGGTCACCCGTGAAGATACTAGGGGCTCCTCTCGGGGACTGAATGGCGAGCTGAACTGCAGGAGTGGCATGATTATTGCCGATAGAGGCTTACCAGCTGGCTTCAGCCACTTGCCGACAATAAAACCCGATATAACCACAGCGTGCATACCCAGGAGCACCAATGAGAACGGTCGGCTGAGAAATGTCTCCTCCCCAACGAAACGCCAGTTCACGGTCCATTTGAAGAAGAACTGCCTGGTCAGCTCGAAGGCCTTGCTCGCATAACCCCATGCATTTGCCTGCAGAAACGGAGTCGCGATGACAATCTGCATCTGAGCCATAATCGCGGCACATTTCAGACTACCCGAGAATCCCCGTCCTAGGAACAGAACTATCCCCACAGCCGGAAGCACGAGAAGTAACGACATTTTGATACCCAGACCCCACGAGTACACGATACTACCGGCAGTCCATGCTCGTCGTTGGAAAAGGAATATGGCGAGCCAGAGGAAAAATGTAGCGAAGCAGTCGTTGAAGCAGCGCAGAACGAAGACACTATGGAGTCGTTTCGAGAGGATTAATAAGGGGAAAACATAGGGCGGAACCTATTCATGGTACCTAATTAGCAGATATTCATAGCAATCATAACTGCCTTGTAACCTACCTTTGCCTTCCAATAACAAGCCATGACCAGCGCCAGTGTTGCCATATACAATACCGCGAATATCTGCTGCGCGAGGAAGATATCCTTGCCCTCATTCGTCAGGTAGTACAGCGCAGTATACGTGTAGACATGGGCTGCCGGGTAGACAAGGGGCCCCGTAGCTCCCGTAAGGGCAGTATAGTCGTGTTCGCCGGACACATACAGCTTGATGTGTTCCATGTACGTCGTCCAGTCGATCTCGGTATCTGCAGAAAAAGAATCCGTAAGCGACCAGTGTCCAGCTGCACATTGGCCCCCCGAACCAACTTACAGGGGATTTTCCATATGATCAGCGCGCAAAGCACCGCGTCGAGGAGGAACAGGCATGGCGGGACGAATTTCGATAGGGCGCTGCGGCCATTGGCGACGTCGAAGACCAGGCGCACTGCCTGCGAGACCAAGCCGGGGTCTTTGCTCGCCATTGTAGTTGTCGGCGTTGTTGCTTCGAGGAATGTTGACGCGATGAAGCTTCTAAGACATGCAGGTGCAATTACGTAAAGTGGACAGGTAGATGGCTTGAATACCGCTTACAGGTGCTGCCAGCCGGTTATTATTCGGCGGTCCGGCTTTTACATCCTACCTAAGATACCTCCTTAATAGCGCCTTCTCAACCGGCATACTTCACGATAATTACATCTTAGATACTTATGGTCATGTTTATTAGGTACATCCTATACAAATGGTCTTTGAATAAACACAGGATGTAAAATTGAACTTGCAGTGTCATAGCTTATTGACGGCGAAAAGGAGGGGAAAAGAAGATGGCCTCATAACCAAACCCCCCTTTCTTGAATCTTACTATGTAAACACAACAAAATATTACATCGCCAGATCTAACCATATCACAGTCGAGAGCGGCTAAGTATCTCATTCACAAGTCCCACCGCATCTTCTGCACAACCATACGATCCTTGATATCCCCAGCCGGCATGCCCATAGTTATGAACAACCCACGTATCGCCAATCTTCTCCTTCTCAATCCTGACGCCTCCCTCCCTATAAGGCCGGAGGCCAACTCCATGGCGGATAATATCCAGCCCGTCGACTCCCTTCCCGTTCCCAAGCTCCGGCATCATCTCCACCGCCCGCCGCATAATCCTCGTCGCGATATTCGGGTCCGGCTGGCTTTCCCAATGCCCCTTCTGGTAGGTCCCGCCGAGAATCGTGCCGCCGCCCGCCGCCCGCGTCATGATGTAGCAGAGCTCGTCGTCGGCGTCGTCGGTCCCGGATTTCGTCAGCATGTACGGCGCCTCGTTCCTGACGACGACGACCTGGCCGCGGACCGGCACTAGTTTCTTGTCCATCACTCCGCCCAGCTTGGAAGCACTTAACCCCGTCGTGTTGATTACAACGTCGGCCTTCCCGCCGGCGTGGCTCAGGGACGCAGCTTCGGAAATGTGCTTCAGCTGGCCGCGGCGGAATACGACGCCATTCGCCCGGCATTTCCCCAAAAGCCACGGTAGGTACAACATGACGTTTATGCACGCGGACCCGAACTCGCAGCCCGACGCCATGCCCTTGGGGAGTTCATCCCTGGAGAGCTCTCGAAAGTCGTCGAACAGCGTCTTGTACCAAGGGTTCTCCTCGAAGAGCCCGTCGAAGTTGTAACCTTTTTGCCTGATTTTTTCAATGTCCTTCTCGCGGCGGTACACGCGAGATTCTGCACTCGTCACTTAGGCTTGGTAGACCTCTTCGTGCTCGGGTTACTCACTCAGCAAGTGTATTCCGGCCTCGGGCACCTCGGTAGCGAGCCTCTTAATCTCCGGCCACGTGCGACGCTCCCATGAGCTGTGCTTCTCGGTTGCCATGCTACTCCTGAGTAAGTCTCGACATCGACGTGGATCGACATGATATTTTCTTACGGTAGAACGTTCGCGCCAGCCCATGGTGACGCATACTCGATGTCATAGTCGCCTGGCATATGCTTCGCTATGACAGTTATTACATTTCCTTCCTGCTTCGATAGCAGATAGGCTGTTGTGATACCGGACACACCCGCGCTGCCATCCGACGTATTAGTGGAACTGGTAAATATAGACAGACAGCTTATCGGAGCTTACCCGACGACCACAATATTCGGCATCTTAGCGGTGGAATATCTCGAACTGATATTATAATACGGATAATCCACTTAGCTCGTTTGCGCTATAATCTGAAGTTTAATTAAAGCACCGTACCGATGTATATTAAGGGTACGGGTACGGTTGATCGAGTCCGGCCTATGAGTCAGGACTATCGAGCGATTGAATACCGGCCTTAGAGGTACCTAGGTAGTATTCTGGGGTAATGGACTTCCGGTAACGTCTTCCGCGCAATGCGAGACAGCAAGGCACACTTGCAACTAGTGCTATGATGCTATTGCGTGGGTCAATTTAACTGGTTACTGTTAATCTTTTTGTAAACATACGATAGGTTATCTGGTTATGACTTCTCGGATCCGCTTTCGGCGTGCTTCGTAAGTTAACTTATTAGTAGTTACCTAGGTAGTTATATGGAGATAGTTAAGTATCCGGGTACAAGTAGATGATGGGTTCTCATACGTCCCGTTCTGTAATTATTGCTAATATCTTAGGTCCTCTAATCTACTAGCAGCTTACAGCTTCATCTCGATTCCTTCCGCAGTTAGATGTATTGGTTAATATTACGAAAATCCTTCGACAAGGTGGTACTAACTCCGCATCGGCACTCCGCTTTTGATCAATGCCGCCATCGATCTCGTTCCGCCGTGGGGCTCCCGAGTCCGGTTTGAGCCCGGTCTATCAACGCTTATCAATACGACGGATAATGCCAAGAATCTCGATCACTTATTTATAAAAAGCCACAAAGGCAAATTTTATCCTGTCATAGAAGGAGCAAGTATAGTTTACCACGAACAGCTGGCAAAAAGGAATATGCTCTGTTTGGAATGTGGTACTACTGTAGAATACGAGAGTATTCCTAGGTCTAATAGGATCTCCTAGCCTTCACCATGACGGGAGAAGGGCGGTCTCTATTTTGTTTCTAGCGAAGCATTGTAGAGAAAACATTTGGTCGTTGTGATCTATCCTTATTCGGCATTATTAGGCGACGAGGATGCTGTGTACCATCTCTTTGAAACGTCGTCTAATCTAGCAAACGCGATAGATATCAAAACGACATCTTCCTATGATGTTGTTACACGTTGTAATCCGGATGGCTTGGGCTTTATACATCCATTGATGGGTACCTGGGCATTTATGTCTTCTATAGGTCATGAATGCTTCATTTTGGGATTGCCTTGCTAGGCTTGTGAAACATCGGGGAGATAAACGGAGGCGGTATTTTAGAATCCTAATAGGCTCAGTCTAAAACGTTGGGTTGTGAATGAATACGATGTGTTGTAACTAGAGGTGGCGTTAAGTGAAAGTCATTAAACAAGCAGACACTACGTCTAAACTTCCATGCTATTTTTTGATGGGCAGGTCATGGTAACTACTGCGTCTATTCTCACAAAAGCGTCCTGAAGGATCTGGTGTTGAAGTAACCCCTATATACGATAGCCGCAATTCTAAGAATATACTTTATATAAAGCTAGAGTGTGCTACTTGGAACGTTTATGCGAGGTAAGTAGGACCACGCTGGTCACTGGTAGTCTACCGGCTAATCCGAGTTAATGGAGGACTCCTTGTGGCTACGAGCAAGATTAGGCATATTAATTGGGTAAAGTGATGATTACCCCTATTAAGTTCTCTCATCCCTTATACTTTATCTACAGCTGCATTCGCTAGAGCCCTATAATAAGGGTGTTGACCTGTACAAGTAACGACGACCCCGGTACTCCCTAGCTGGAAGCATACCGTAGATCGTATGACAATAATAGGAGCATTGTATCAATAACCCCGGAAGAACCGAAGGGAATTGCTGCAGGTCGTCGAATAGTCAAGCGTACTTTAGACGCATAAGCGCGCCGCCTACTATGTATGGTAGCAATTTCTTCTTATCTAAGCCGCCTCTAGGCTAGCATGTACATAGCTAGCACCAACTAGATCTTTTACGCCATTTCGGTGTGGGTTAAGGAGGACATTCCAAGATAGATGATATTGCTTTTAATGCAGTGCAACATGGATATGTCATACTTTGGATAATACCGCTTGGCTGGCTCATGGCTTCATGCAACAACCCGACGACAGTTCCCATCAATCTGACACCGGAATCTGCTGGTTTCCCTGGCACCGACAGATGGGTCCCGAATATGAGGGTCAGTATTGGGGCTTGATCATTTGACGATCTGATGAGGCGCCTAGGAAATCAGCAACGCAGCTCGGTAAATGTGGCAGCCATAATAACTATGCAGAGTATCAGCCGACCTATAAAAGTCAGGTATGTCTCTGAGCTGGATTCGGAGTATTATCCCTCAATGTGACAGCGGATAAAAGTGTGACGTAGTTAGGAAGGTAGTTGGAAATGGTACGATTTTGATGCATCCAAACACTCGTCCGTCCCTTGACGGATGGCGGTTTGGAGCATCTCAACTCAACCGGGATCTAGAGAAAATAGGTAATAATAAATAGCAGCGGATGAGTATCTTGGCAGCCTGGGTTATTCGGCGTTCCGGGATACCGGGATACATCCGATCTGACTATATTCATATGCACGTCATTACCTCGGCCTATAAACGCGCTTATAGATATTACTATAGCGAATACAATAGCGTGTCGATTTTATCTCTGTACCGTAGCTTTCGATTCAATCAGGATCATGCGTAGTGAACTGTGACTAGGCCTAGTAGTGACAGCTCAACTACGGAAGAAAGGATTCTGCATTCCGATAGTACCTATCCCCTTGCTAGTTGGTGACTAAATCTAAAGCGACTAAGGTGACCTGGGTACCTCGCAGGATGGGAGCGGTGAAGAAAAATATTGTCCATTGAGATCAAAGCCGTACCGAACAGCTGGGTCCTTCTCGAGAGAAGGATGCGGGCTGGCGGGAAGAGGAGAAGGTAAATGCGAGTCTGCGGCGTTGCTGCGCCAAACAGCCGGGACTGACGCGAGAATGAAAGATTATTATATTTGATGACACATACATAGTACGTGCGGATGGTCCAGTGGCTGAATTCCCAAGTCCCAAGGAGGCAGATAGGTAGTACAGTGTGGTTTCACGACCAGCCGGGATGGTGCGTTCCAGTGCATTGGGATACCAGACAGCCAGAGCACGAGTGGCCCCATATGTACCAACCAACGGGCCGAGAATCCAATTTGTTGGAACCTGGGAGAACGCAGATGGCTTTGCCACTAAGACGTACATAGTATGGGGTGATGTGTCTTGGACGAGAAATCATGCAACAAACCGTAAATCATTGTTTGCCGACTGGAACCTCAGGCTTCCATTCTACCATTCTACCATTCTACCCACAGTTATTCATCTGGGGCAGTCCTCGGACCAAGTTTTAATCGACTGGAACCATTAATATTATAGGCTTGGCTAAACGAAGAAGGGACGAGACCGCTAATAAAAGTCGGGGTTCGGAGACGCAGTGGATGGCGTATGTTGAGGATGCCCTCCCGGTTTTCTTCCGCAGTTGCTGTAGGACGGATGACAGATATCTTCTGAACACCTAACCTAGCTGAGTACCTCCTACGAATTGAACAATCTCTACGTAGGGTTACATGGTGGGCGGGGCACTACGCTACAGAGCTATCGACATATTACCTTCCCTTCTAAATACGGTGGTAAAGAGGGGGGAATATCTATCGATGGCGGCGGCGCATGAGAAAGAACCCCAATTGCGAATGTTTAACCCCTCTCGGAAAGTTGTGTAAATCGTAAGAATGTGTACTTTATGAGGTGAAACGCATAACATATTGGCTGATTGGTAATGTCGAAGTTAGTAGGAAGACACGTTATCGAACAACGTGTCATCACTGACTACCGATTTCCGTTTACCCATAAGGTGCCGAAATACCTGTCTAATAAGATAATACAGCTGAACATACGGATGTCCCTTTCAAAAGTTTTTACCATAGGGAACCCCTGTCAAGATTGTCGACAGCTGTCTTATGCTTGGCTAACACCTGTCGGATGATTTAAAAATGTATACATTATTATCCCTTAGGTTTAATACTGGATTTTATACCTAAATAAACTTTTAAAGTAAAATGAAAATTATTTAATTAAAAATTGTCTTTTTATGTTTATAATTCATTTTTCTATAAAATTTTACGATTTATTTTTAAAAAGTAGCTGTTTATTAAAATAATAGAGTAAAATAAGATACGCATGCTAAATAGGTGAGCAGCTGCTGCCAAGCATGGTCAAAGCTTGCCGGGGGTGACAGGGGTCTCCCTATGGAAAAAACTTTTGAAAGGGACATCCGTAGTAGTTGTGCGGGGCTACGAATATGTATGTAGGCCTCGCAGCTATCCCTGGAGATGGTTCTCTGGCGAAATGACCTCAACCGGTATGTTAAGTACGGTCCTCCGCACGGAAGATCAACGAGGTAGTTGAATTGTCGTTCTACGTGCATCGGTTGGATGTATGCGTATACGTACCTAACCTACAATACCTAATTTGATCCTAGTAGAAAATGGAGTAGAGGAGAGGAGCCCCGGGTATGGTTCCCATCTTGTCGGATTCTCGACCGACAAGCAGGTTCGTACATAGCATCATGCGCTGGCTAGGGGTTCGAAGGGGGAGGCTGGCTGTTGGTAAGTCAACCCACGAGATCTCCACTAATGATATATTAAGGTAGACAGGTTGCTAATATTGATTCGAAGACGAAGAGACCACATGTCTAACTAAAGCCTGACGTTGCTGCAGAAGTGTCTAAGTCGGGTCTGGTGGCAGACATATGAGATAGGATATTGCGAAGTTTAATAGAGTGCTAGGTTGCTGGGTTGCTTTTGGGGGTTGCGCGTTATGTAAGAGTCGATATTGGAATTGTAGTGGAGAGAAGTAGAAAGGAAGATTGGTATTTTGCTTCCGTCCCATCTGGTTGGATCCATAATCCACATAACCCGCACTTACCCTCCTATCAATAAGTAGCGGGCAATGATAGGTGCTAACTCCATACCATTAAGTTTCGATGTCCCTAGCTGCATATATGTACACAAGTACCTAGGCATGTATGTGCCTCGTACCTCGATACTTTATGTACCTCATTAGGTATTTTATATGCCTATCCACACGCGCTCCGCTACGTCTCTCCCAGCGCAACGCACCGTTGGCAGTGCAGTTGCAGCGGGCACGCATCCTACATGCACTTACATATACACAATATCCAATGCCCAGCCGTTCGGGAATCAGGTTCCTCGTCTACCGGTGTGAAGGCGTAATGCGTGAAAGCAACATTCTCCCGGGTTTGATGCAACTGCGGGGATAAACTCAATTCAATTAAATCACTTCAAATGCACCAACGGACCATCTGCGCCTTGCCTGCTTAGGTATCGTACCTACCTAATCTTGCCTATCTCATTTTCAACAATCAGAGGAACGTTGTATTAAACTTTTCTCTTTCTTCTAAATCTTTTTCCTTCTCCTCTCTTGTCCACCCTAAATCGTACATTACCTAGGTACATGACTCGCTAATAGCCCGTCATGGACATGTTAGATCATCATTTCCGTGCCGCCGTTGGTGACTCGTGGTACTGGAATAATTATGATAGATGATTAGATTCCCAGTAAAATCCTCGCTGACATTGGCGTACCTAAAAAGCAAAAGCAGCTAGCAAAACGAACGCGTCGTTACAGTGACTGAGTATATTATTTCGGGGGTTAACACTGTCTATCCCTAAAAGGTACATAATGGAGAGGTACCGGGACGGACCCGGCATGCTGGTTGAAGGTACTATGTATATGATTTCCCGCGTCTGCCTCCTTTAAAAAGGCTGGAGGCTTGAGCGGTGATTGGAGAAGCCGGGCTGTTGGAGTCAGGGTTTAAGACAACCCGAACAACCCCTATCGAGTACCTAATCAAGTACCCTATAGACATACAACACTTTACAATACCTACCTATAAGCGAGACGGGATACTAGACCTAGCAGCCGGCATAATGCAATGATCCCCCCTTCTTACTGATTACACATCTATGCGACTTAATGACCTAACACCGAGAGTGGGCAATATACACTAGCCATTTCTAATTCCCATTTGTTCATCTCTAAGATGTCTTTTTATACTCTTCCCTCTGATCGTAACGTATACGTATGTAGACACATTTATCTTTTATAGCCAAGCAGTTATACTGTTTGGTACTTACATGTAGGTGTATGTAATGCAACGGATATGTACATCTACATGTACATCCTCATGTCAACTCTTTCCGATTACCCACATGGAGTAGACCGAAGTACCTGCGGCCCTGCATGTACATGTGGTACCTTTGCAAGCAGCACTATCGTACCCGATTAGGAGGTATTGGACCGCAAGAGACTGGAGTATCACTCCACTAAAAATACTACATTGCATAGAGGTCAGTGGAAACTGCCAAGAAAAGGCGATACCCACCTGCCCACCTGTACGGAGCAATTCGTTGTACCACGCCTGCAAGCCTGCAAGCCTGCAAGCCTGCAAGCCTGTTTATGCTGCTCCTGGTAACTGCTCTTGCAGTCTTGGTAAAACTGTCCTGGTAGCAGTCTCTCTATTTATTATCGATTGGACCTTGAACCTAACCTTGTAAATGCTTCTTCACCTGGGGTGACCTAGCGCCGGGACAGATGGGCTTGTAACTAAACCAGCTATTCCCACATTTCTCCAGACTCTTCTACTTTCCTTTCCTACTTCTTTCCTCGCAACTCCTTCTCATGTTTATCAACCCCGGGTCTTAACAACAAACCTCAATTGATCTTTGGCTTTCATAGCCACCTCTGCGTTCTTCGTATCGCATCGCCTTGCCATTGAATGTAGGATTCCTGTCATTTCTCTTGACAGTAATCACAGGAAGACAGGCCACTTGGATCTCGGCTCTATTTCATGGCTTGACTACCTGAGCTGAGCCGCAACATTTTATATCGAGATTCCAGAACGCTTATAACTCATCACACGTTCCGCCTCACAGCTACTCGCTTCAGATCTCACAGTCGTCAACCGATCTTCATTAAGGATAGGGGCCGGCACCCTCCTGGTCTATATTCTCTATCTATAGTGCAAAGACATAATTGCACGGCTTAAATTAGATAGGATTGGACAGCTTGAAACTTCACATATCAAACCCGGCATTTAGTCAACAAGAACAACCGAGGTAGTTGGAAGGAGAAGAGAATCATGAGTTCACCTACAGCCGCCGACCCAGCGGGGTCCATATCGCGAGAGGCGAAGAAGAGGAAGGGCGTACGAAAGGTCTTGTATAATGTGAAGACCGTTTTCAAATGGAGTGCTCGAACTAAGAAGGGGGCTCCACCAGCCGCACCCGCAGCCGCAGCCGCGGTCGTAAGGTAAGTTCTAATATATACAATATACTCACATATGATACTGTAGCGTCTGATATTGACTATTCCTTAGCCAACCTGCTGCGCCTTCGAAACCGCAGTATGACGGTGCCACCAAGATTCCTCGGATACAGATTCATGAGGAGCGTGCGAAGAAACTCGGTACTAGGTTTGGCTTGGAGATAAAACCAAGTGAATGGCATTCTACCGAGGGAGATGTGCTCCGAATTGAGAAGTCAGTCCGCATGCGAATTCACCGGGAGTGCCATCAATGCCATTCCGCGTTCGCTGCTGGCGATGAGTGTCCCAGTTGTAAGCACAAGCGTTGTAAATTGTGTACTCGGCACCCTGTCAAGCTACGCACGGAGGAAGAGAAACAGGCTATGCGAGAAAAGAGGGAGGCAGCCATCCGAAGGAACAAGCAGAATGCTCCTATTATCCCTAGCTACGATTATGCGGAGAAAGTTGTCTTGAAGCGTCCCCGTAAGACAGGGCAGGATCTGGTCTACAAGGGCAAGGCCCGCGTGCGTGTCAGAAGGCATTGCCACGAGTGTAATAACCTGATCACCGGCCATGCCAAGCAAGCAAGAGTTTGCGACAATTGCGGTCACAAACGTTGTGCCGACTGCCCGAGAGAACCGTAAGCTGCCTTCTCTGCGTATCAGTTTACCAGTAATCTAACCTCGCACAGGAATGACAAAAACAAGTATCCATATGGATATCCTAATGACGAACCTGGCACAAACTTTAAAGGAGTTCACGCCTGTCACGAATGTAGAAAGAAGTTTCCGCCAAACTCGGACGATGGGACCGAATGTCGCAACTGTTCGCACAAGAAGTGCACCGATTGCCCGCGAGTTAAGCCTAGGAAAGTCGACCCCGAACCAGACCCCGATATTTTGGAAACCCTCCGACTCCGCGTGGCGGCCCTGTCGACTGCGGATAGTTAACTATTTCGAGCATACTTCATAAGCCTAAATGAAACCGGACGAGAATCCCGACCCGACCGAATCTTACTCCCGACTTGATTTTGCTTCACAGCATGTACCTAAGACTGGACTACATTTCCACAACCCTTCATATTCGGACCAAGTGTATATATCGGATCTGTCGACGGTAACATTATGTGCAACGAATTACGATATGAGCCGCATTATACCACCTTTAAGCACGCGTTGATATTTAAATTTATTCCAACTTCCTATCCTTACGAAGATTGATTAGACACATACATTGGTACTCTGAAGATAAATAACTACGTTTATTGTGCGCGAGTTAGATGGGCGCACATGGCAACTGGCACTAAGTTGATAGTTTCACTGCTGAGTTGCAATGACAATGTAATTACCTTTCTTGTCGATCTCGGCACTACAATATCGAGACGAGAAATATACGTTTACCATATAGTTCATATATAAAAAAGTCCGTTCTCTTTGATGCTCATTGAGCTAGCTCTACTTCTAATCTCAGTCTTCGTTCGATCCGACAATTTCGGGCATGGCAGCATAACTCTTCGGATTGGGCAATTCAAGCCCATAATGCTGACTCGCAGCTCTCGTTACATTGCATCTCCACTCAACCTAGGTTAGGTACCTAACAAGTTTAAGCTTACTCTGTTTCCCCACTCCAACCACTTTGAAGTCCTGCTGGATTGCTGGATTGCTGGTCGCACCGCATGTTCCTTCGATCACTCGCATAAGAAAGTAACGAGAAATGCTTATGTATCGCTCTAATGGAGGGTATGCGGCGTTTCTTACAACTACAACCGCAGCTTTTCAAGTACACCCCAAATAAGGTGACGCAATCTTGGGGCACAACCTACCTACTAAAGCGCATGAAAAGAGTCTTGCTTGCATGACTGAGTAGTTGGACCAATATCAAATTAGTCTATTATCTCAAAGCATGACCTAGCAAGTTGCGGTCAACGTGACTGACTACATAAACAAGCCATCCACCTGTGCGCCGCACTAAAAATACATCAACTTCTATCATCCTTTTCATTACTCTACATAGATGCAATACACCATTTAATCAAATTAGAAAGTCCTCGGCTTCGGTTCGCTTACTCCGGCATCCGGTCGACGTAACTGTCTGGTATCGCCGATATGAGCCTCGGCGTTTGGGCGTAGAGGTGCATTCCGTCCCTGTGGGTTCACATATGTACAAAGCGCCGAAAAATAGGATGTTATCAACTTAAACCAGCCGTTCGGGCCGGGTGGCTTTTCTTAGTACCTGGAGAAGTTTGGTGGAATAAAACTAAATGGATGTATGCCACCCTCCTTGCTTACGTACATAGTATAAATAGGTAGGTAATCGAAAGGAGCAAGGCGATCGCAGGCTAACAGGCTAGCTACCCTCGCTGTTTAAGCGCTCGACTGTTGGGCGTTACGCGCTATACGTCGCATCGGTTGAAGTTAGCGATTCTTGCTGCAACGAAACCTGGCTAGCTTTCATCCTCGCCTAACCTAACTGCCTAATTGCTGACAAAATTATACATATGTAGTACCTAGTGCGTATTGTGAAAGTACCTATATACCTAATGTACATATTAGAAGGTACCTTACATACCGACGGTTGGGGACGGCAAAGAAGACAGAAGACGTCGAACCCAGGTACATAACATAGTCCGGGGTTTTCCTTCTTGACAGGGGCGAGAGGGGGTAGAACCCCCGTTCTGGGAAAGGCTGGACTGGCTGGCTGGGCGAAGTGGGAAGTGGATAAAATAGAAGGACAAATCTAGGAATCTGCTCCGTGACTACCGATTGTTCATCTTGGCCCGTACCATGGTTTCCAAGTCTTTGACGATGCGGATCTGCGACAAGCTTTCCGCTTCCTACCCGCGAAACGAGGAGTTAGGTACGTACAGTAGGCAGTGTAATTGATAGGAGCGACCGTGGGTAACCCGGACCCCGCCGACCAGATTTTTTTTTTTTTTTTTTTGGCTGGCGACCCGGTAGCCTGGATGGCCTATTCTCTGTTTCGCCTAGGTTCAAATTTCGGAACTTCCGAGCTAGTAAACGTTTGCGCCTTACGATGGTCGTTTGTGGTACCGAGAACCTTAAAGGAGTTAGTTCCGGGGATTTTACGGTCCCCTTTTTTTTTTCTTCAATTGGGTTTAGCGGACATGTTAATTTGAACATGTCGTTTTGTGCAAAAGCAGTTGAATTGTTATTTGTCATTTATGCAATATACACCTTTACATATACATATTATGCACGCCGTCGGCCAAGATCTCCAACATATCGCACTATGTATCTTAGGGGGGGGACTTTTTCTTTCCCACGTTGCCGATCCGGCCACGTTCAAATCACGTTGATCGCCCTTAGTGTATTCCTCGAGGGCCGTCACGAGGCGGCGAACGGAAACTGCCGCCATCCTTCCGCCAAGTAACTCATCTGAAACGTCATCCCCCCAGTCGCCCGTTATTCCCGCCGTCATTTCTCATAAAAACGTGTCCGAGGAGATGTCGAAATCGATAAGGGTCTGATGGGATGTTACATCATTCGCGTGATAGAAAATGCCAAGACCAGAATTTTTACTACTTCTGGGTATTGTGATATCCCGGTCCAATCCGGGGTGGCTATTTTATCACCAACTTCCCATCGCGGCAATCCTTATTACTATGATATATGATATAAGGAAGGTAGACAACCACCTCGATGTTAGACGTGAGTGGTGTGTATGTCGATATGTATTCCGTAAGGTATGCAACACTATGAAAAGCGCATTGATTCTTCATATGTAGGTAGGTAGTTAGTGTATGTTACTACGTACGCACGGGGCTATTGTAGGTAACTTATCCCCGTACAAACTGCTACGACACGGGCCGATTTGAATTTCAAGGACGACGAGGATATGTACATAAGTCCGAAAATTTCGCTGATAAAAATAAATAACCTGATGTTATTATTAAAATAAGCGAAGGGAGAAAGGTGACGTAGCCTTGGAATATACTTGGCTATGTATGTAATGATGGTAATGAGCATACCGGTACATAGTATGCATGCATGCAATTCGCGTACGTTCTGGACTTTGATTAGAGCGGTTGGGGATATACACTATGTAACGTATTGTACACTTAGTTAACCTACATAGTGTAGTAGATTGGGTAGTGAGAGACGGACCGAGCCTCGCGGACCTCTCCGCGACAAGGTCGGCTTTTAGATATTTTAGACCATGTTTTTTTTTCGTCGATACTAATATGCCGGACTGCTCTCGGCTCGCTTCATATCATAGTATACCACCTTCGTTCGAATCCGCAACGTAATAGCAACTGGATACATACTAGGTTAGGTGGATGTGGTCTACATACATACACTATTGCGTATCCACCCGGGGGACGATCGACCGAGGCTCGACGCTAACCTACATATGTAGTAGCAGCCTCGCAAGTCGAAATACGATGCAAGGTAGCGAGCGAGCGAGCAAGGCTGTTCGAGTTTCGTCCGTAAGGGGGACTAAGATACGTATGTACGTACAAGCATTATCCTACTAATTCCTGGGGGTGTTTGCTAAGAGGCGAAGCGGTATGGGGGAGGGTCTGGGGGGCGTTGGTTCAGGCTTGTTAATACATATACACAAACATAATATACCACATGGTGGATAGACAGGCGGGCGGATAGAATAAACGACCATAACTCTTGCGCGTACGGTTCTACTCCGTGCCGTCAGGGTGCGGGCTCTTACATATGGTCCGCCCTATTTGATGCGTAGTGTATTCTACATAGATATCTGCAACGGGTTCGTGGAGTTCGTCTATGTATGTACACGCTCTAGGTAGTTAATCGGAAACTACCTAAGATTAGCGACGTGTTTTCGGACCCAACCTGTCGGGTCGTCATATATTACATATCGTCAGCGAGGAACTGTAAAGTGACATGTCGCTAACATGCTTATCCGTCGGCGAGTTTTTCTGTAGGGATATTGCTTACCCTGGTGCAGATGAAGGTGGTATTGTTAATTTGTTATGGTATTGATATATTGCTTTTTATTATGTGGATTACCAACAGGGTAACCATGTAGGTAACCCATTCTAGGTATCTCGTAAGAGACGAGTCACCGTTAGAAATGTCGCGTATGACGTTGACTTTCCTTGATGTATACATAGAAAACACCCTTTCAAATCAGAATTTTGGTGTGATAAGGCACGGGATAGCGGAACAATATGCCACGTTTACTCAGACGGCCAGCTTAGACGCCCTGGATATTCTCTCAAGTAGTATCACTAGGAAGTTAAACGACATGAGTTAAACCTGCGTCCAAGATATATTTATAAAGGCATCTACAGGTTTAACTCTAAGATTTTGCATTGATTCTAGAGTAATTAAGAGAGTTAGACCAAACTCCTACGAGACCACAACTGCTAGTACTAAAGCGAAAAAAAAAGGCCTAGTAGACAACAGACTGCAAAATAAACATGGAAACTATCCCGTCGGCAGGTAACGAACTCTACTACTAGAGGATGAGTCCAAAAAGAAAAAGAAAGCTAATAAAAAAACATGATTGATAATACCATTCCCCCTATCCTAATCGTGCCCTGCCTTTGCCTCTACCGCCCGAGAAGGCGAACTTCATTGCCAGCGCCGGTATTATGCTGGATATGCAAAGCCGCCAACCAGCTAATCCATCGTAACCTTAAACGAGGGCCATGCAATCACCACAGTCTCATCTATCGCAGTACTGCATGACTACCTAATGAGGATAGTATGTGTTTCCGGGCCGCTCCACGACGTCAGGTCCGAAAGACAGGACGGTGCCTGGCGGGAAGATGCCGGCGAATGTATCCGAACGCGACTCCTTTCGGCCGACGTTGAAGCTCTTGGAGTCGCCGCGGTTGTTCAGAGACTTGTGATGGGCGGGCATGAAGTGCCCCTGCTGTACTGTTGCGGTCCAGTTTGTATCGAGCAACGGGCCTAGCTTCTCGGACTCGTGGAACCGTCCTCGGACGTACGCCTCGGACTTCTTGATGGGATTCTGGATCAGGACCCACTCGAAATGTGTGTTCGATGTGTGCTTCACTCTGTCTCGAAACATTTTCTCGCGGACCATGGCCTGGGTGACGTATTTCAGTGTATCTCCGTGGACCGGCGAGTCGGTCTCCTGCAGAAGCCAGAGGTCGCCGTGGAAGAAGAGCTCTTCTCCCTTATCTGTTCCCTCCAGCACGATTTTCCTAACCACCATAGCGAAAGGAAGCTCGGGATTATCCCACTCCGGATGCTCAGCCTGCTCGAGCCGTACTCGGATGGCCTCGAATGTGCAGATCTTTTCGCAGCCGAAGAACACACCACCGAAACTCTGTTGGTTAGGTTGGAGCGTAGCGTCCATGAGGGGGTTGAACAGAGAATACGAGTGGTCGACACGACTTGCGCCTACTTTAGAGGCTTCAACGCTTAGTGCTCCGTCTATCTTGCTGACCTGGGCCTCCAGTGCATCCCACGGGATCGCTTCTATAGGGTGATTGGCGAACTTGTCGAGGATTGGATGAGGAGCGGGGACACTAAACGCCAGGAATGGCCTCATATCAGCCTCGGGCTGTATAACATCTCCAAGGGCTCTTAGCGAGTGCGACAAAGGCTTTATTTTATGCATAGCAGGAGTTGAAGTAGTTGGGTCGCTAGGCAGGTTTTGTATGACAAGCCCCAAGCGGAAGGAAGGGTGTAAGATGTACCACACGACTTCTCCCTCCCTAAAGAGTGGAGGCTCGTCATGTTGAATCACCACTGGGGCAGGACTTGTCGCTGCTTGCGTTGTCAATGCGGCAGAGGCGACTCTTTGGGCTGATGTTCCCGATGTTCCTGAGATTACTGAGGTTCCTGAGGGGCCGCTGGGTGCCGGACTGGACGCGGTAGACGTTGTAGCGGACTGTGCTGGGGAATTACCACCGAGTGGTCCCGACAGTTTCGCGGCAGGGCCAGATCTAGCCGGAACCTGAGCCTTTGTAGTCGGTGTCTTTGTTTGAGAACCGTTGTGTGACTTGCAATGTTTGCAATAACACTTGGATCGGTCTTCGCCATCAGTTACCAACCACAACAAGTGGTCAAAGAATTCAGCTGGGGATCTGTAGCTCTTGAGCGTGGCCTTACTACGGCCTTTGGTCCCGAGATCTGGATATCCATATAGGTAGCAATCCGAAGCGCCTTTGCCTACGGCTGTATCTGAAGAGGCCGCGTCGGAAGTGCTTTTAGCTAGAATTGTCTCCATAAGTACATATACCTATACATAATAAAACACAGGGCTAGGTCGACATACCTTCTCGGAATTTCTGTCGGAGAGTGTAGTTCCTCGGGAACGCCTCTAAGACGAATTTGTAGTCTGACGAAGGTTAGTATGCTCTATTATCTTATCCCACGCGGTTGACGAACTTGATTTAGGGTAGAATTGTGAGCCTAACATCTCTCCGAGCTTACGTAGCCAGTTATCTTCGGAACTTGGATATGCTCTTTTGAGTCCCACGCGGTCTTCAGAGAATACTACTCCATCACTTTTCACGATACGAAAAGTGGAAATTTCGTCGTCAGAACCCATGGCGGATGAGGGGGAGGGGTTATTCATTGCGGTAGAAGAGAGGAGTTGAACAAGGCTATGTGTGGTTCGAGAAGACGAGTCGAATGTATTTGTAGAAGAGGGAAAATAGTGCCCGTATATTCGTTAGGCAGGAACACTCGCATCGATCAAGATGTCCGGACTGAAAAGAGAACTTTTGCTTCCTCGTAGGGTTGGGGGAAAGAGAAATGAGAAAATATTAGGTAAAGTACCTAGGGTAGGAATGATAGGTCAAGTAAATAGGTAGTTATCGTGAATTTAGAAGAGAAGAGCACTCTAGAGAATGAGGAAAGAGTCTGTAAATTCAGTGATGGCTTAGTCGTTTAAGGCTTTCGAAAAGAGCTCATGTATCATTGTATTCATGTACTTGTCGATTCGAAAGGTTCATACGGCAATAGTATAGTTGCCAAGTTGTATAGTCGTTAGAACGTATAATCGCCGTGTAAGTCGACAACTGACAACCGACAACCGACAACCAAGCCTGGACGAACAGAGGCTAAACCACCAAGTACGCAATGTTAAAGATTAAAGATGACTATCTCATCAAAGCGTCATAAAATCTCGAGACGACTTGTGATAATACTTAGAATGGATGATATTAACGCAATAAGAACACGGATGCATTAATCTTTTAGCTTAGAAAAGATTTACGCAGATGTTGTCTTGTGAAAGCCAGTTATAGTAGACTTGAGTTCTTACATGGGATCTTGAATCTTAAAACAACAAACCCGCTTTGACCAATCGGAAGCTTAGAGCTAGATCTACAGATGCAAGCTACGCCACAGAGCATTCATCGTTATTCGACTGTGGCTTTACACTACGCGTCTGCTCATACATGTGCATATGAAGTACGAAGTATCTCTGTACCTGACAGGGCTAGCCCCTGCAATAGCTTACATATGAGGTACGGATCTGTACATAGGTACCTTATGTAGGTACACACCTATTGATGTAGATGAAAGCCTACAATTGACGTAGAAAGAGTTGAACAAGAGTTAACGAGACAATTTGGTGATACCTAGTAAATTGCCTAATATGATGTCGAAAATAATTTCTCTTATATGTTGAATATTATTTTCAGTATTACAAGTAAACACGTCCGTTTTGATTTATTATGAGATCACTAATTGCAGAGCAGAGCCTTAAATCCGGGCTTTAGTTCTTGTAACTAACTAACTATCTGTTATTAACAGTCATTCTTTTCTCCCCGCCATATCCTGCCCGAACGTCAAAAGGTTATGTACCTGGAAACTACTGGCTTTTTATAAATATATTGTTACTAAGTTTAAGCTGGGGGCAATTGTCATCATTTGACTTATAAGCTAAAATAATATGAGCGGCGCATGTTCCTCTAGGTTAAAATCCTTACTTATTTGCCAATCATATTCTATTGCTTTTATATCAATGGTTTATCATCTGCAAAGTCTTCGGGGTTTGGAGTTAACGTAGCAGGACCGGGTTTTCTCCTATTAGAAATACTGACATGCGTTTATGCCTCCTTTGAATGACGCCAGCCACATTCTAATCACTAGCATAGGTAATTTGTATACATATCATTGAACACTGCAATATTCAACGGGCAACTACACGGCCTAATTGCTCGGAGACTTTAAAGGGGCATCTTCGGAGACTTTTCCTATGAATTCCGTGTATGTAGAAGATGAAGTCATCCCGGGGTTATCATGGTTAAGACCGCTTAATGCAGATGGCAGCCTGTGAAAAAACTAAGAATTGCATCTAGAGTCTCAATGCAAGCATCGGCGACATCTTCAAATCGCCCCAGCTGGCGACTATATAGATCTCGACGATGAAGCAGAATATCCCAGGACTCATTCCAAGGCACAAGACTACACCAAGGATAAATCCACACAGCCCTATCTAAAACCAACTAGATCTATCTACTCATTTATCTACTCAACGCTATCAGCGATAAACTTATCAGCAATAATGGCCACTTACGACAGAAATACCGAAGGTCTCGAACTTGTTCACAAGTTTGCTGACCAGGTGAAGGGAAAAACTTGTAAGTATGCTCCCTCACCTTTAGGAGTATGATAGACTGACAACATCATCTAGTCCTCTTAACTGGCCCAAGCCCCGGCGGCATTGGTGCCGAGACGGTCACCTCGCTTGCCACAGAGTCCCCAGCTCTACTTATCCTCGTGGGGCGCTCCCCAGAGAAGACGCAAACCGTCATCGACACCATCAAAAATATCAACCCTAGTGTTAAGACCAAGTTCGTCCAAGCCGACTTTACCTCGCTCAAGAGCGTCCGGAAGGCAGCGCAGGCTATCCTCGACGACCCCGAGATCACCAAGATCGATGTGGTGATCAACAACGCGGCCGTCATGGCGACTCCTCTCGAGCTGACGGAGGACAAACTAGAGCTGCAATTTCAGTCTAATCATCTGGGCCACTTCGTCCTGACCAATAAGATCATGCCTAAGATCATCGCGGCCGGACCTGGCGCAAGGCTCGTCAACCTCACTAGTTCCGGGCATAGGATCGCGGGTGTGCGTTTCGAAGACCCGAACTTCACGCAGCCGGGTTCATACAGCGAATTCGCGTCCTACGGACAATCCAAGAGCGCCAACATCCTGTACACGGTGGGCCTGAACAAGCGCCTCTCCTCGCGCGGTATACGCGCCTTCGCCGTGCACCCGGGCAACATCCAGACGAACCTACTGCACTACCTCAATCAGATGGACAGCGCGCACCTAACGTCGATCCTGGACGATGCCGCGCAGAAGGTCGCGGGCAGGACGATCGCTGAGCAGTGGGTCGTCGATCCGTACAAGACGCTGCAGCAGGGTTGCGGAACGACTCTCCGCGCAGCTCTAGACCCGGATTTGGTCAAGGAGGAGGGCGTCTTCTTGCAGAACACTAACCTGACGACTGATCCCAAGGACGTTAAGGAATGGGCGACGGACCCGGAGCTCGCGGAGAAGTTGTGGAAGTTGAGCGAGGAGCTGGTGGGTGAGAAGTTTGATATCTAAGGGCCAGCTGTGCAAGACGATGGAGTGTTATTGTAGAATGTGAAATTGTATTGATATAGTTGAAAATATAGACATGGCATATCTATAAGTATGGCTTCTATTCTTGACTAGTTAATGTTTTGTAAAAGTAAATCTAGGAGTTGTTTCGAACTCGACTGTCAAAAGTAAAAGAGAGAATCGTATGTACATCCGTACTTCTTAATAAATCTCAGGGGCCATACAAGACCTTACAAGCCACACCCGTAGGTACCTAGGTACCTAAATAATACCTGTTATGCAGCCAAGCGTTGCTCTTAAACGTCCACTAAACTCCAAGTCCCCACCACTAAACGAACCCCTGGAGAACCTTCACCTCGAACTTACATCCATTGCCATCCTCGCTCGGATAGCGATACCGCGTCGAGGTCCAAGATGTTGTCCTTCATATTAATACAGAACCGACAGTAAGCAATCGCCCAACCAAACAATTTACCAATCCCCTACCTCCGATATTAACCACCCAACAACAGAGGCAAGACGCGGCTAGCGAAGTGGTACGTGCCGTACAGCGACGAGGAGAAGATCAAGCTGAAAGGCGAGGTGCACCGCCTAGTTGCGCCGCGCGACCAAAAATACCAGTCCAACTTCGTCGAGTTCCGCAACTACAAGATCGTATACCGCCGGTACGCGGGTCTCTTCTTCTGCGCCTGCGTCGACACCAACGATAACGAGCTCGCCTACCTCGAGGCCATCCACTTCTTCGTCGAGGTCCTCGACGCCTTTTTCGGTAACGTCTGCGAGCTCGATCTCGTCTTCAACTTCTACAAGGTCTACGCCATCCTCGACGAGGTCTTCCTCGCCGGCGAGATCGAAGAGACCAGCAAGCAGGTCGTCCTCACCCGCCTCGAGCACCTCGATAAGCTCGAGTAGCACGTTTCGGATACCCGAGGAAAGAGTCTGAAGTGTTTCTAGAGGGGTGCCCAGAGGAAGATAAACATGCAGAGAATTCCTGTGTATAGGATAGGTTGAGCTTGCGAATAGCTCTTCTGCTAGGCAGAGGCGTATGGCGTTTTGGCAAAATTGGAATTGGGCAGCAGGTCATACTCTCGCGAGCACGCACGCATATCTATTTAAGCATTGTTTCCTCCTGGATCCCGGACCAGCCGTCGTATTCATCGCGTAATGTGGCTTGATATCCTACGAACGGTTCAACGACCTCCGAGTCTTGTTAATGCAACATTTATTAAATTAAATTAATTAATGCTATGAACTAATGCTATGCTGCTGGTACTTAGATAGCTCTCCGTCTGACTCATTTAAGTCCTGGGAATAGCTAAGATATAATCGTCAGCTATCTCAGCAAGATCTATGATTATGGAAACGGGAAACATTAACTAAGCTCAGTATCAGCATCCTTTGCATATAAACACCTGTCTTAATAAATGCGTAGGCGTCCTGGCAATATGTATAGCAAGCACGGGATAAGGGGACAAAAATGGTCGCAGAGCTTGATGCTATAAAGACAACGCATAATGTATATTCGGAAGGTCCCGCAAGTACGAAAAGGAACAGAACTCAAGCCGCAACCACCACCACCATATCGGTGTTTATCACTTTATCGTCCAGCTTGGAGGTTAGATACGTTTAGTATCGGGGTGTTTGTGAAGCGCAGATCGAAATCTCGAGAATAGTCTTAGTTCTTCCGTGGCTTATGATATGGTATGTGTGTATCCGCTACACCACCTTGAGAAAAAAACGGGGAGCGAACAGCCCGTTCATCTCAAATACTTCGCCCTGTGGCTGATGTTCTTGTTGTCCTAGAAGGTACACAGGCTCCTAGGCCTCCTCGATCATCTCCCTGGCGGTATGAACTATCGGAATTGTACGGCCGCTAAAGAGGGAGATGGCTTTAGGTTGGAGTGGTAGTCTCTGGAGGTGCTGGTCTGCGACCTTCGTTGGGGCAAGGTTACCCTTACTAAGGCCACCATCTTTCTTACTTCCGTCGATATTCATCTCGTCTAATTGATATGTGGAATCGTTGGTAGGCATATCGTCTGTAAGAAGAGGAGCTTGCATTTTGCCTAAAATTTCAACCGCGAGAGCGTCGAGGAATTCGTTTGCTTCCTTTCTAGCTTTCTCAACCTCTTCAGCCGTGTCTTTAGGGACTGATGCTGCGTCTACCATCAGTTCATCCTTACTTTCAACCATATCTGAGAGACGATTCTCGGGAAGGGAAGTTTCCTTTGGCGTTATCAGAGAAATATGCGAACCCATAAATTCATCATTATCATATCCAAGCCTCCCCTCATCCGCCCTTTTCTTGGTCTTATTTAAATCTAAGAACGGGCGGCGTCGTTCTTCGAGGGGAGGAGCTTTGACTCGCTTTCGATGTTCGCGAGGCGGAGTAGTCGAACGCTGTCTCTGACGATAACTACTTAAAGAATATTCGCGAGGAGATTCTTCCCCACGATATGACCCCCGAGTCATGCGCTCACGCGCTGTCCAAGGCGAGACACTTCTACGGTCGTCGTGCGATCGGTATCGGCCGCCTGAATTATAGGATCGCTCCTTCGGGCTTTTGTCTTGTCTATAAGCACCATGGTTTTTACGTCGTGCATGGTACGCGGGACTTCGAGAGCGGCCTCGGGGAGATGGCGTGAAAGGAGAACGGTCTCGGCAATGGGGATATTCTCGCGCAGGCGTCTTTGGTTGATCTTTAATACGAAGACGCTGCTGCGTTAAGGAGAGCTCATACTCGTTTTGAGGGCACAACGTTGCAAAATGCCTGCCAGATACTTTGCAGATTTCACATCGATAATAATGCGGAGGTGGCTGGTCCCATTTCGGGTCCAAATTAGTAGGGCAAAGCTGAATCCAGTGTCCTATGGTTAAAGTTAGCGGAGAGGGCTTTCCTTCTCTATCGGATCTCATTACCTGGCTGATCGCAACGCTTGCAAATATACCCGTATGGGGGAGATGTAGTTAAATAGGGAGGCATATTCAGCGAAGAATAGTCTGATATGACGGGCTCGTAACTTTTGATTGGGCTAGCCTCCATTGAAGTTGCGTCCCTCGAACTCAACCTTGCCGTCTGTTCTACGGGTGGTGCTTTGTTAACCTTAGTTGAGCTCTTCCTCTCGTTCTCTTCCCTAATTTTGACGATCTCGTTGTAGAAGTTGCTCCGTAGACCGGCCTTTCGCCCTAGAGGAATTTCGTTGGCACCCGTCTTTTGCTTTCCCCTGCCAGGTACCCACGGAGCTGTCGATTCCATTATTTCCATTTCAGCTATATCTTGAGAGTTAATCAGTTTGTTCAGACGGACTAAGGAGTTTCCCTCCTGATTTGAGGTTGATCTCGTGGACGAATCCTTCTCTTGCTTGGAGCCACGCCTAGCCTGCTCAAATAGCTCATGGAAATCTAGCTGTACCATCTGATACCTACGTATGTTTGCAGGGGTTTCCACAGCATCCTTACTTTGCCATTCTTTGAGGGCTTCCTTGATCTCATCTTCACTAAATGGCCCCTGTTGCAGCTTCCCGCCTGTCAAAAGCAGGTTGGCAAATTCTGACAACAAAGACTTCTGTTGGATGTCCTTTTTGATTCGTTCATGGAGCCATCTCATGAATACTTGGAGAACGTCCTGCTTGGATAGTTGGTCGGGGTGTACATGTTGAATTCTATCCTCGAGTTCGTTGAGAGTAATATCAGCCAGGTCATCTATACCCAGTGTCTGCAGGCTAGGCAGAAGATCCATGATGATCTTAATAACAAGGATCGCGAAAGTACGAGAGAGATGAGAGTAAATGTGTTGTATCAGATGGATACGATTGGGTTTGTGTTTTGAAAAGAACGGTTGCAAAAACGATGTGATTCCTGTTTGTTGTCGATGAATCCAGGCTGCAGCTCTTGAGATGCAAGTAGTAAAAAGGGGAGTCCTAGATTCAGAGTGGCAACTTGTGTCCCGTCTAGTGAAAAGATTAACAAGAATATGAATCAGGGAGTAAGAATCAAGCCTCACGGGACTAAGACGAGAAGGTAGGATGCGAGTGTAAGTGCAAAGAAAGAAAGACCCATACACATACCATAAGAAATTAAGTTGGAAGGAGACTAAGAGTCCGATCAGGGTCACTATGGGCAAGTCCTGCATGCTAATTAAGCCCCATATAACTGAAGAAGAGGTAGGAACTATGTTCGATTCGTACATATGTCTGGTGTAACTACCTGGGTAACTGCCTAGGAGACTATAGCAGGTACTCCACGCATATAAACGACTGATAAACTTGGAAACAGCACCTGCATCTCCAGCAACCGCCTGCATGTAGGTGTGCAGTTGAATATGTACCTCCTACATGTACGTGTATCTATCTTTGGGCTTTTACCCTCCGCCGATGCCTACATGTATGTATGTACTGATGTATCCCCTACGCCGTGCATAAAACACACACCCAAACACCTATGTAGATATCTTACTCTAAAGTCTGGATCTTGGCTACCTAAATGCTTTAACTCGACTATTAACTTATATGGCAACTGTGGTGTAAACTGGGTTGAGCGTTTATAACATTATGCTTTTTAAAACTAGTGTCGATGTATTCAGGCACACGTAGTTATGTAGGTAGCTAGCAGGTTTACTACAAGATAACTATGTCATTTGGTAAGGGATGAACCGTAAGATAAAATCAAGGAGAAATAGGGCAGCTCGATCGAAGAGCGAAATGTCTTCCCGGGATTTCAAGATCTCTAGAGTCCGGCATTTAGACATATTAACGCTTTAGAGCAGCAAAGCGAGCTGTTAGTTCATCAACACTCGTCCCATCCTTCTTACTATCGCTGTTCTTTGATATGCCAGCATCAATCATCTTCTGACTGGGCTTCAGTTCCACCGAGTTCAACGTGACTCTAGGCCGAGGGTTATCGGTGGATGGACTTGGTGGATTAACATGTACGGGGGTATCTAGTCCTAGGGATCGAGGAGGTGTTTCGCGGATCAGCGCTTCCCTTTCCAGCGTGGCTTTGCTGTCATCAGGAAGAGCTGCCCCCGAGGCCCTCTGTGCTTGGCCACCGCTTGGGCTATTGCTCGTATCGTCGTCAACGAACTCCGGTGGTTCGCCCAAATCCTTAGCTCGCCTCGGCCAGTTGACCCCATACGCCCTTGCGATCTCTTCCAGATAACCCTGGACAAGCTCTTCTCGAGGTGGAGTGACGCTAAGCTTCTTGACGACCTTTTCGGAGACCTTCTGATCTGAATTTTCCATAGCCGCCAATACGAACTCTTTGCCATACTTCTCCCCCAAAAGTGCGCGTACCTGCTGTAATTCTTTGATCTCTGTCTTGGGGGCAGCATATATGATGCTTTTCACTGCCTCTTCCAGTCCAGGATCGCACATGCTGCCCTCTAAGAGGCCAGCCCGCGCTAGTAGCAACTCGCAATACAACTCAAGGATCTCATGGAGTTCTGTGGTGATATCGGATCGAATGATATTCTCGACTCTTATCTTCGCCGAATCGATCTTACCAACCTCTAGTAATTGGGCCATTGCCCTTCTCTGGGTCTTCCCCATAGCTTCATCGCGTTTCTGCACCATGCGCAGCCGTGCAATGGATAGCTTCAGCTGGACTTTCAGCTTCGCCTACAGGTTCAAGTGGTTCATTAGCTATCTAGGTGTTGTAAACGGACGACTTCCCAGCTATGGGATCAAGCAATACAAGAACAGCCTTACAGTCAGATTTGCTGATGGAGCCATTTCGACGGTACACAGCCCGAAGGCTCGTGAACTCTGACAAATTGGTGGTATTACTGAAGATAGTCGCTAGAAGTTGACGCTAAACATCTCACTGGCAGCAAAGCAACATGCAACTTCGGAGTTGTTCTTTGATACTCGCATTATTACGCGAACCCCGCGATCAAAGAAGTATCGAGTACTTATTAGCGCACTATATATAAGCTATTATTCTAGTTACTGTACATGCCCTTAGTGCATATGTATTTTGAGCTCAGCTACCCCTGCAAGTGCAACAGTAACACAAGCCGCCGATAACCAAGATGGGACGTTTTCGCTTGTTTCGGGATGATATCATTCGTAGAGTGCCAAGCCAAATAAAGTAGCAGTTGGGGGTATAGTGGGGCCGATAATCATTACCTTAGCTTTTTTATTAACGACGACTTCAATTTACTTCAATTTGAATGATGAGTGGTGCTAGGAGCACGCCGTCATTTTTCTGTACCACTAGATTATTCAAGATACAGTCAAGATATGCAATTTGCATCTTTTAGACACACACCTTTACACACACCTTCACAGCCAATACGTTATACTACTCAAGTCACGAGTATAGGTCCTAAGCTACCTATTTAGTAACATACCTTACTTAATTAAGTTGACCGGCTCTAGCTTCATTACCATGCCTGGATCGAAATATCCTCTACGGGTGGGCTTCGTCTTGGAATCATCGCAGGGACCATGGCAATAATCCAGATTTGGAAGCGGAAGCTTCAGCGACAACTTCAGCAATGGAAGGGTACGGTCAAGTCGAATCTTCAGAAGAACAATCTCTGGAAGAGAATGATCAAGAATACCATATGCATCACTATCAATTTGATCATTGGGCTTATCCCGGCAGTAATTGCTGTATACGGCCAGGCGACATATCTCGGCGCTATGGCCTCGGTATTTGGACATCCTGGGCAGCGGTTTGGCCAGATGGCTGAAGTCTTAATACTCATTATCCTCGGTACTTTCGTCGGGATCGCTTGGAGTATCTTAGGCCTATATCTTTCGAGCCTTGTCTATCATACCAATATTCAAGGAGCTTGGTCAATTAGGGCTATATTCTTCACCTTAGCATTAATTCTTCATGGTGTCCTACGTTCTTGGGCGCCGAGGCTATTCTTGTTTGTGTTTTTCTTCCTGCTCATCAACATCACTATCTTAACAAGTGCTACCACATCCGTATCAGCTGGTATCGTTGCACATATTGCGTACCCCATCCTTACAGCGGTTGGTGTTATCATGCTCGTAAACATTACCATCTTCCCCGAATTCTCGAGTGGGTTCCTTGGTAGATCTACGATAGAATCATTATGCGCCACCATCGATTCTTTCCAAGAGTCTGGAGATTGGTTCATGTCCGATACCAGAAAGTCAGATGGCGGGGATGCTGAGAAGGAGAAAGAAGCCTGGACAACCTTACGTACTAGGCTCATAGCCTTGACCGAGAAGAAAGCAAAGTTGAGGGCTCAGCTCGGTAGCTCTAAGAAAGCTCAAGCGGAGAGTAACTTCGAGCTGGTGTATACGGTCCTCCCTCCGCGGTCTTTGAAGCCTATTAGTGTGACTCTGATGTCACGCCTCGTTCAAGTAACTATCTGTCTTATTAATGCTTGCGAGAGCAAATATGCACTAGCAGGATATAAATATGAAGAGAACGAGCAAGATGCGCCGAGCGAAAACCCATCCGACGACGAAGACTCCGAATCTGATTCCGATTCCGACTCGGACAGCGAGTCTGAGAGCGATAGCGACGATAAGTCGGGGCGCGAGACTAAAAAGTCACAGAGGAAATCCAAATATACACGAAACCTCGAGCTTGTTAAACCAATTCGAGAAATAGAGTCCGGCGACATCGAATTCCTCGAGCATATTCTTAGTCAGATTCGTGGCCCGACCAAGAGCCTCCAACATCAGATACAAGCTGCTCTTCATCTCATAATCTGCGCATTAGCTTATTGCTACGACGTACCAAATCTCCCATCGGGTGCCCCAACTCCTAAGGGGATTAGCATGGAAGAAATTGATCTTAGAATCAATATGTTTGTGGAAGCATTGACGCAGTTCGACCACGATTCCGCCGCGGCTCTTGAGCACGCAGCCTCCATACAGCATGGTCGAAAATCACGGGTATGTTCGCGATGATTCTCCATTATTTCAGTGATCGTATTTTATATTAACTACCTATGTAACCGTAGAGTGATATTACGCCGAAGATGGAAACACACTTAATCTCGTCGTTCCTAATTAGCGTACGGCATGCAGCTACCCAGATTAGCGAGATGTTGAGACATTCTAGAGCTCTTGTTGAGAAAAGACAAGCACGGCATGGCCGTCGACGGCTCTACTGGCCTAAAATTGGTTGGAAGAAGTGGCTCACAAGTGGCGGCGAACGTGACATAAACGCTCTCCCGGAGGATGCGAGGAAGGAGGCAAGGACTGGCCACGGTATTAAGGAAGATCCCGGAAGACGCGGTGACGACACAGATGACAGTGAAGAACAACTGCTTAGACGTACCGAAGATGAAGAAACAGGTCACACTATTTCGAAGCAACCTACTGTTCCCGAGAAAGGCAAGATCCCGATACGAAAAGGTCCCCAGAAGTCTGAAACGAGCAGAATAATGTGGCTACGCGGACTAGCTGCTGATATGGTTGAGTTCTTTGCCGACTCCGACGATCTCGCCTTTGCTCTTAAAATGTGTGTAGCAGCATTTATCGTTACGTGGCCGGCGTTCGTGCCATCATTGAATGGTAATTATGCCATCTCCAAACGTAACAAACTGTTAACTAATAACTAATCAAATAGCATGGTATAATGCTGTTCGTGGATCCTGGGCGTCTCTTCAGCTGGTTCTCGTCTTCGAAGTCTCAGTGGGGACGTCATTTCAGGGGTTCTTTCTGAGGGTTTTCGGGGTCATCTTTGGCTGTGTTGTTGGATTTCTTGCTTACGAAATTGGACAAGGAAACCGAATTGTCGGTGTGGTTGTTCTCGTATTTGGCATTATACCATCATCTTACATCCATCTCGGTACACCATACGTAAAAACAGGCATAATTTCCATGGTTAGTATGTCAGTGGTGGGGCTTGGTAAGTAGCTATTTTAACATGACATCCGAACTTATCCATAACTCTAACAAGCTATTAGCAACAATACTTCAGCCGGTCGGAGAAAGTGCGTGGGAGATATTTGTTAAACGAATGGTATGCTTCCTCGTCGGTGGGACGATTGCGCTTCTAGTCGAAATGTTCCTTTTCCCTGTTCGAGCTCGAGACAGGCTCGTCGAGTCCCTAGCTTCGAGCATCCAGCAGATATCGCAGATGGAAGCATCGATAGCTGTGGGCGTAGATTCACCTCGAAATATCGATATCAAATCCAGCGCTCTCAACGAGAACTTCAAGGACGCCAAGGAGAAGGCCGAACAAGCCCTTGCTGCTGCCCGCACTTTCTTACCTTTTTGTCTCACGGAACCGAGGGTCAAGGGAAGTTTTAACGGGCAAGCGTTGATCTACGGCGAGATGATCTACGTCTTATTCCAAATAATCGACCGCATGGACAATATGCTGCATATTCGCAAGGCCTATGGGAGCAGCGTACTTGAGGAGCTAAACACGGAGGTCCTACCTTACCGTCGTAACGTAGCGGCTAGCATAATGCTCACTCTCTTCGCCGTTCACGAAGCCCTGACGACCCGATTACCTCTCCCACAATTTCTTCCATCTAGTCGTGTGGCACAATTACGATACATCAGCCGAGTCCGCGAACTCTTGCTTGAGCTAGACATTAAGTCAGCATATAACTCCGGCGTCCAGACTCCGGTTAGTCTGGCGAGTGGATCTATCCCTCTCCAGGCGCATGTCTTGAAATCGATGACTCGGCAAAGCTTCTTAGCCTGGAATGCCAGCTCCGCCGGTGTTAGTAAGTAGTCCTTCGGAATCACCGTCACCCCTTTTCCTATCGCCTTATGCGCCAAATTACTCGGCCTCTACATGAACCTGTAGTGCTTTTAACTAGATATATTAACCTTGTCATAGTGGAGATCATTGAATATCTAGAAGAGCTGGTAGACCTTGCCAAGCTGTTGGTCGGGGTTAACGCGTTCCGCAGCGGAATGTTAGAACGCCCCAAGTTCCACGAGTACGTCAAGAAGATCAAGGAGCGCGAGTCAGATCGGAATAAAGCCGCGGCAGAAGCCGCAGAAGCGGAGACACAGGAAGCCCAGAAGATCAAGAGCCGGAGGAGCAGCAGCTTCGTGCGCAGGAGGCGGGGCTTCACGCTCGGCAAGATGCCTTCTCACGGCGCTGCTACCGGCACGGCTGCGGGCATAGACATGGGCGACGGTATTGGGTTAAGGCAGCGGTCAAATAGTCTCTGGGGAGGCGGCGGTGACGGTATTGGATTGAGGCACCGGTCAAATAGTCTCTGGGGAACTGGCGGTGACGGTACTGCGAATGGTGGCCACGGAGGGGACGATATGCCGGAGGATTTGCCGATGAGCTTGCAGCGGGTCATGACGAAGCGGATGGAGGGGAGGCAACGCGAGAGGTCGGCTAGGCACAGGAGGAATACGGATGATCCTAAGGGGAAGCGGCCACTTGTCAGGCCGGTGCAGACTTGGGCACTGTAGTCGGGGTTGGTTGTGACCACATTGAATGACGAGGTATAATACGCGACGGGTCGGATTTACGACTTCATGGGCACATCCACGTTGACAGTTAATGATGGAGCTATATCTACCAAGTTAATAACTCGTAATATTCCAAATATTGACAGTAGGATTTATTTATGATCTTGCTAGTGGATTTCAAAATATATTACTGTGCGTGCGTGCCCCCTTTACCATAGTAATGCAATTTGCCCGTGCTTGCTAGTTATTTGATCTAGTGACCGCCACATAGAGACGCAAGACAACGATGTTGTTGCTAGCTAATGCGGGCTACGATCATATTAATTGTCCAAAGCGGTGATATATATATACCGTACAGAGACCGCTGCCGTAAGTTTCCTCCTTCTAGAAAGTCAAGCTCTTGTAGGACGTCGTTAAATATGGGGTATCACTGTATTCCTTATTAGTAACTACAAGCTCATGGTAATCTTGGAGCACTAAGTGACATAAAATGTAGGCTGTTAAATGTATACCCCCATACAATGCCGGGAGTAGAAAGACTGCCACCTTTAGGAGCCATGAAGCGACACTATCGAGAATAGAAGCGCAGAAAATCGCTGCAAGTATATTTTTATCAAGCGATAAGTTTATACCGTCTCTAAACAGTAAACCTCGGTTGTAATGTTCGTCCTGGGGAGATATATATATATTATAACCCCATTTTTAGATCTAGCCCAGCTCGCAAGTGCAGCCTCGTTTTCAGATAATAGAAGTTTTAAAAGAGTATCCCGACGATTAGAAATATTTGAGCAGATTAGGACATCGGGACTCAACACGTCTAGCGGTTTCTAAATTATCATATGTCACTATTTCACTTCAATATTGAGTTCTAGGCGAACGGATAACGCAGCACTTACCTCGAACCAACATATATACAATATAAACGCACAAACAACATGTACCATGGTATGAATCTCTAAAAGTGTCAACGGTAGACGGTATGCTTTCCTAGAAATGCACTGTATTAGTAACCATCCATGACACTTGCAAGACAACCAGGGTCTTCTCCACTGCGTCTGCTTTGCTCCTGTCGTCGATACTCTTTCGTGCTACGTAAAGGGACTCGTCTTTTTCAGCAAGAGAGACCACTGCTTCAGCTGATAGAGTCGCATTGATGTGATCTCCGTTGAGAAAATCGCTGGTTGAAACCTGCAGGCCGCCCATGACAACGAAAAACTCCCGTAACGAAGGTCAAATTTCGGACAGACCTACTCCTTAATAAGTCAGAAGTCTAGTAGGTCTTGGGTGAAGCCGGATCTGGTAGATATATCTAGGCGGAGCCATGTATAAATACATACATGCGGTAAGAGTTACAATACAACTCCATAAAATGTCGGAGGTGCTGCGAATATTCTGCGACGAGACCCAAGATGGCGCAATTGTTGTCTGTAAGGCCGTTGAGTTGTTCTTGTGATCCTCGAGCTCATGATGCAAGTTTACGGTTATTATGTGACATCGAAGGTTTCGATTTCCTACACAATTTTCGATCACACAGTTCGAAAAGGGGGCTTTACTAAATTTACTTACTTACGCGTCTAAGATGTATGGTCAATTAGAGGTATGTAATCACGCTAAATAATTAGGTATCACGTATCAAAGTACATCTCTACCCTAAATGTATGCCTAGGTAAATTTTAGGTCTTATGTGTGGTGCCCCCTTAGCAGTTGAGCATCGCCAGACGAAACTAGCATTGCCTTCGAACCCACAGCCTTATTTCCCCAGCTTCGAGTACCTATTCATCCGAATTTCCCCCGGCTTCGAGTACCTATTCATCCGAAATACGTGGGTGGGGGGTTACTACCATCCGGGTTATCCAAGCAGTCTCGCAGGAGAGAGATCTCACTCAACACCTCGTGTGAGCACTGGATCGCCACCTCCACACATCCATTCGGATCGCGGGCACGGGTTTCCACGATATGTCCTACGATACGGAGAGTGTAGTAAGGCTGATTGGAGCGGGAGAAATTATACCGGTAACGGAAAGTCTCAGAATGGTACGGCCCACTGTCCAGCCTCGCGAGCATCTCGTTCGTCATACTGTCCAGCATCTCGGCGCTTGGTTGTCTGGCATACACCCACATGCCTTCATCCATATAAACGAGGGCAGGATCGAATTGTGCTAGGACTAGCCTGGAGCCTCGGTATGATGGGTCTATTGCTTTGCGCGGTAGGACTGTAATGCGCCCCTTGATGACCTGGTTGTGCCGGGTGCGAGCAAGGAGGGTTAGGTCATACTTCCTGTGGAGATCCTTGAGCATGGTAGGGTGCATTGTGAATTCGTGTATCTGTTGCATTGACGCAGGTATGCAGCTAAGTATCTTTGCTTGCCTAACTGCTTCTCTGTCCGCTACGGCATCACTGATAGCAACTAGGGTGTAATGAAGCCTCCGGCTTGTATGCTGGACATACCCAACACATGCACAGGTCTTATCGTTCGTGTCCATATACGGCTCTACATCCGCGGGCACGAACCTGTCGGATGTTAGAAAATGTAGTGTGCCGACGGGGTTCTCAACGATACCGCCTGCGGTGAAGGGGTCGCAGCAAGCGGTCCTTCCCGACGAGGTCTTCTTGTGCAGGTGGATATGCCGCGGATTCGTCCAGACCACGAGACTGTCATCTTCTGTAGAGTATACTTTGATAATTCCTGTGTAGGGGACCGATGTTGATGGGTTTCGTCTAGCCATGATCGTTGTAAGTCGAACTAAAATAGCGGAGATGGGAAGTCGAAAAGAGGAGTTGCTGTAGCGAGAAAACTTCGAGGACGGTTTGGAATGATGGTAGACGTTTATAAATTATATATTTCTTTCGGTAAATGCTATTGAATGATTATCTTGGGTTGAATCTGTGTTTTCGTCGGTATATTACCGTTACTCACTTGAGATTGAATAAACTATTCGGAGGAAATCTGCTGCTTCCGTTGCTAGGGTAGCTCATAATCACGAATAAGATATTTTGCAGAATGAGCTTCAACAAAGTCAGTACAGTAGGGGGGGAGTGTTTACCACAATCTGAATTCAAAATCAGTGACTCACGTAGAGTAGCCCCATATTGAAATCAACAAAGTCGTCTATATTCTATCATCTAATATAAATAATAATGGAGTCTAAATCGAAGTAGTACAGCTAACCACCTCGACTCTTCGTAGCTGTCTGATCGTTGAAACCTCTATAGCCTTCCCTCGGCTTGCTAAATCTCTAGTTCCGTGCTCGTCGGCCCGTAGCCACCAGCAGCTGCGACATTTTCCTTCTGGTATAGGAAGCACTCTTCGGTATCGACGTACTGCGGGTCAAACTCGAAGATTCGGACCTCGGCATTTTTCCAGGGATCTAATAAATAAAATCAGCAAATACTCGACGCAATCAATCGATAGGTAAAGTTGGTTAGTCACATCTCAGGACTCAACCCCTCAAAGCGATTTTTGCTAGGGAGATCCTGACCCCCGAGATAGACCTAAAAGAGGGTAAACAAGACCACAAACTTCGCTTTACATACAATCACTCGGCCCCGTCAGCGGATCTGCCGTAATCCGCCTAAGAATATCGCCATGCGCAACAAGCACGATATTCCTCTCACTCCGACCACGCAAGTACTGACGAACCCAACGAGCGCGCGCTGTCAGCGCTTCCTCGCTCGGGGCCCAAAAGCCCTTCTTACTAGTCCAGTCCGGCGTCAATGGCGTAAGATCAAACACCGCGAACTCGGGGTCCGCCTCGAGGACCTCTTTTGCCGAGCCCGTATCGCACGGGAGACCGTTGCATTCCTGCGCTTGAGGTAGGAGCACCACGTTTTTCAACCCACCCAGACGCTCGACGGCCGGCGCCCAGCCAAGGTAAGTGGTTTGCAGGGTGCGCCGTAGGGGCGACGAGATGATTACGTCGGCCTCCTTTTGCAGGTCTGGGATTAGACGGGCTAGTGACGCGGCTTGTTTCTTGCCAAGAGGCGTAAGTGGTGCGTCGTGGACTTTGCGGCAGAGTTTTAAAATCAGTCTTCGGATTCGGACGTGTCGTGTGAGGAGCGCGACTCACTGCTGTAGTCTAGGTCGACGTTGTGCTCAGCCTGAGCGTGGCGGGTGAGGATGAGACGGGAATTAGGCGCCATAACGTAGTTGGGAGTGAATAAGTAAATAAAAAAGTAGAAATATATGAGTAAGGTAGCTATTCTAATTTTTAGTCTATTTCTGTACGCAGTAGTCGGGGTTTTATTTCTTTTTTTTCTCTATGAAGTCTAAGTGAAAACAGGGATTTAAGGGAAATGAGAGAAAAAGAAAAAAAGAAAAGAAAAAGGGATGAGAAGAGGGATGTAGTTGGATGAATTACGCCGCATTTGCGGGACTTAAAACCGCAGCGGAACTCTGCCGGACCATCGATCTCCACTATATTAGCGATGGCGATGCCGGGTGCCGTGGCTCCCCGCCGTTGTCGGCGTAAGACCCATTCGAATTGTTGAAGTGCATAAAGGGCTAAACAAGATAGCGTATCTAGAGTTATATGTTGGCCGGTTCGACCTTGAATTGAAAGTAAAAAAGAAATAGAGATTACCATATTTTTATAATTGATAACCTGGATTGTTTACTGGCCGGGATCGTTGGGGATTCGTTTAATATGAGTAGTATGTGAATTATTAAATAGCTCTCTCATGCCACGGAACCAGAAGTAATATAGCCGATAGTTCTGTAAAAAGGAGATTTATTCCAAGTCTATCGAGTAATGATGATTTCACCGCTTATAATCCGTTAGAGAAAAGCGTATATTTGAATGCATTAAAAAGCTGTAATAAATAAAATCCGGAACTCCTAAGACGCCGTTCCTCCTGGGTATTCCTCACAAGGACTTTTCCGTTGTCGCTGGTCTTCCGTATTCGCTATGAATTAAACTCATAAATCCGTAAACTCTGATAAACCTGGCAAAGATTCGGACTAGGAGCATAACTGGATGTTGCTCCCCTCCGTGGATCCATTAGAACAGCTTCAAGTTGGTTCTCTGCTGCAGGTTCGTCCCGTTCAGCATAGCCCGAGATCTCTTCGGTCGGGTCTGGAGTCTCCGAAACGCCTCTTGAACGTGGCGCGCTTCAACGGGGATCCTGCCTTCGCTGGGTAGATCAAATAGCCCTTGTGTGAGCTTCCGCTTCTTGGTGCCCGGGTTATCGCCTCCGCTCCGTTCCTTCCATAAGTCTTCTTGCTCTTTGATCTTGAGCGCCTCCTCCGTGAGCGTCTGGACCATCTCGAAGGTCAAGAAACCCAGGATATCCACGATATCATCTGAGGGTTTACTGTCTGTTACGATACCAAAACCGGCCCACTCCCGAAATCGCTTGCCCTTTCGGTATGTGAATGATGCCTGTCGATATTCGGACCATGTGACGTATTCCTCCCTAGTCATCGCCTTTGTCCGCTCGTCGGCTTTGCGCAGTCGTTGAAGCGTGATATAATTCATCTCCTCTTCCTCCTCATCTTCCTCGTCGTCGCGCTCCGGGACTTCCTGGCCATAGAACGAGGAAGGTTCCCAAGGGAGCTTAACTTTGGCCTTCTTATTTTTCTTGGCGGCCTCTTCTACTGCGGGGCCACCAGGCATAACGGCTCCACCAGGGTCGTCAGCAACACCCAAATCAGCTTCTCCGCCTTTGTCGTCGGAATCCTTGGCGCTCTTGCGAACATCTTTCCATGATAAGAAGGTCCTAAGACGTGATACCTTAGGCGCATCGTCGCGGATTTGAAATATTAGATCATTAATAGTGATAGATCGGGAGCCACGGCGCGTAGCCAGTTCAGTACAGCTTCGCAGCATTTCAATAACTTGCTGCCGAACAATCTCCTCGATTATAGTAGTAGTCTCAACAGAAGGCTCTCCCGTCTCACCAGAGACATACATCATCTGCTGAATCTCCTGCCTATACTTGTGCTGCTTGCTGTTGTCCGCCATTTTGACTGAAAGCGACGATAAAGTAGTCGTGGCGTATGGGCAGTCTTTATGGGCATATAAATAATTCTCGAATGAATATAATGGTCCGCAATATACTACGGCTTGATCTGCGGATGACGCAAGAGATGCGATTATGTTTGCGGATGAATGTTGTTCTGCTAGGTAAAGTTGAAGTTGTTCGATGCACAAATGATGAGAGCTAACGTTGAAATGCCGACTTGATCTGATAGGCTCCCAAAGTTTAATAAGCCAAGCCACTAACCTTAAATAATAGACGCTAAATGTGAATATGTAGAACTTCAACTCTGGGGAAACTCAAAATTACACCACGTACGAAGTACATTCAAGTCTAGGTATTTATTTTTAACGTAACCGAATTGTATTATTGGTCTCTATAAAGACACTTACCTTACTTATATGTTTCTGTGAAAATTGATTTAAGCCTTGAATTCTAACTATTCATCATAATAGTTCTATAATGCTTTCGTTCTAAAGAAGTAAGCTGTGTTTTATTTCACATTAATCGCATATTTTGATGGCTGAGGACGTATTGGCATACTCATTAACTCATATTCATCATAAGTCAGTTTCCCATCTTTCAAACCCAGTGCCTCTCCAGCCCCAAGCCACGATGTAATGGTCCGCTAGAAGATTCCATTCTTCAACCTCATCTAACCCCTCCAGACTATCGACTCTTTCTTTTTCTTCCTCCGTGACCCATTTCCGCCATATTTCTCTTATGGTCAAGCTTGTCGCGAGCCGGAACCCGGCTTCTTTTAATCGGGACTGCTGCTTAGCAGAGTCTTGATATGAGTCCAGCGTTGGCATATGTATCCGTCGCGCTGCCAAATTAGATACCATCTGCTTGCCGAAAGAGTCATTAGGGTGAATTGGCTCGTAGACGATGATGGCAAGATCTGGTGTTTTTTCGGCGAAATACTTGATTACGCTTTGGGCCTCTGAAGTTTCTAAGTAGCATAGACAACATTCTGACACCAACAGTGTTGGGATATCTGTCCGGATGCCACTGAGAGCTTCTGTGCCACTATTGAGCAGGGCTCTCAGATCCAATCCGTGACACCAATATTGACAACCATTCGGTAGGCTTGAACTACTCCAGCCGTCCTTCTCATTCTGTGGGTTAGAGATAATGGACCTGAGTTGAGGGGTAGCATTCACAAGCTGTAGCTTCTTAGAAGCAATTGCGGGGAAGTCGATCTCATGATAGATAAGGCCAGCCTGGCTGGGTTGAGAAAGGAGCTTAAAACACCTTGTGTCTGTGCCCGCACCGAGTGAGATAATTTGTCGTTCTTGCGTTGCGGTGCCCGACAAGAAGGAAGATATCAGTCGATCCAATGCAGTAGTCCGTGTGTAAGTCCCTAACACAGCCTTAGCACTCGCTAGACCGGAAATGGCCTTCGGACTTCTTACCTCGATTTATAATAGGCAGTCTCCTAACAATGCCACCAACAGACTGAACGAAATATTGTGCGAAAGGGTCTTGTAGGTAACCCAGATCAACAGCGCTCATACGTGACACAGCAGCATCCGTATCTGTACCTTGAATGGTAGTATCGTGGCTGAGGCCGGTAGAATGTGAGTGACCCCCTCGTCCTCGGCCACGGCCACGATGCCCTCCTCTTGAACCTCGGAGGGAGAGGAGATTTGGGATATACGGGGCAGACATGTACAACAGTTTATATCGTCGCTATACCTAATGTGTAGATAATATTACTATGTAGAATCTGTAGATGCGACAGATTGATTCGGGTTTTGAGAACTTGTTGGTTGTGATGTAATGGCGCTAAAGGAGATTCCAGGACTGAAGAATCGGGCCCTTGTCGAATCATACGCAATCCGTCTACTGTAACTGTGTAACAGCCCCGCGCAGCAGATAGAATAGATGGGCTCGAATCGAATACGCGGCTTTTGGAAATTTTGGGAAGCTAAGCGACGCGATAGGACAGTACATAGGTACCTATGTAAGCAGTGAGGCAGTGCAGAGCCTAATACCTTACGATATGGGCGGCGGTTGCCTAGATCGTACTGTAAAGAATGCAAAAGTACCTGCACTACTTAGCGATAGGCACGTAAGCAGCCCACTGTGCAGCCGGCGTTCCGAAGGTAACAATTGTTACAAGCACTGTACGTTACCTACCTAGTTCTGGTTACCGCAAGATACTCCTAGCACCCTGAGCCTCAAGGTAACAAGCACTAACCTGGGACTCGTCAATTGTGACGGTGCGAATATAAATATATACTGTCGTCGCCTCATCCCGCCTTGAGATACTCTTCTAGGACTTGCATCTCTCACTCGACTTGTCAGGGAGCTTTCAGCCCTTTATTCTTCGTTTCATACGCTTTCCCCCCTTCGTATACAACTTTCTACAATACCTGTTATTATCACTCTTTTCTTTGAATCATCTTCTATTTTATCAATTTTGTAGTTTTTATCTTTTCTCCTGTCTCTATTTTATCTTGTCTACGAAGTATCCAAAATACAGACGATCAAAATGTATCGCGACATTGCGCACGCGGTTTACAAGCGGGGTGAATCCTCGATAGGAGGCTACGAGATGCCCGGTTGGGGTTGGGGTCTCATACTGCTCGATATCATAGTATTCTTGCCTTTGTTTATGACGGTATGCTATCTACGACATATCACTTGAGAAAAGGCAACCCGGCTAACGTGTTTCATTAGGTCAATTACACCCTCCAGCATGTGTTCCCTACACTCGCCATCGTTGAGGATCCGTCCCCTCCGGCTTACGAGCCCGTCTCGCTAAACGATGACGCCCAATCCCTTGCCGAAGAGAACGCCCCCGTTGCCGATGAAGCTGCTCGTGGTGGTTCCCAGGCCCGCCTCGTCACCTCGTCCGTCCGTTCAACCTACCGCACTCTAACTGCGATCAGCGGTTTCCGCTCTCTATTCCGCGGTCTTGCCTGCTACTTTGCCTTAACTTTCGCAAGCAGCGTCGTCTTCGGTATCCTATCTAGCACATTTGTGCCTTCTCTTATTGCCGCTCCGATTTCTGCCTTGGCTCTCGTACAGGTCTACACGGCATGGACACATATCGTCATCTCCACGCCAAGCTCCAAGACTTTCTGGCAGCGCCTGCCTCCCTTCAAGAAGGCCTTCCAGGCTACTGCGCTCCCAGTCGTCATGTTCTTCTTTGCCAAGGAGCTCTCTACATTTGTCCCGAAGATGCTTGCGTACGGCATGTCCATGAACTTGCCCAACCCCAAGCAGCCCGGTGTTATTCCTGAGGGCGACAAGAACGACATCTGGAAGGCGGTCCTAGTTCTTCTCCTAGCCCTTGTCATGAACATCTTCCTCGTCATCCCTACCCAGGTCATCCTTACCCGAGTCCAGGCTTCCCTTCTTCCCGATGAGGATGACACCATCGTGCCCTTCGACCGTTCGTTCCAGGGTAAGGTGGAGCCTGCCATTGTTGGCGGCAAGGGTTTCGTCACGATTAAGGATGCGTGGCAGTCATTCCCTCGCGCCTCGTGGATTCGACTTGTCAAGCTATACGTCAAGATCTTCGCAGCTGGCCTGGTCCTTGGTCTCCTCTGGATGGCCGTTGTTGTTCCTGAGATGCTGCTTATCATGAGCCGCAGCAAGAAGATCGAGTAAGTCGATTCAATTAGCTAAATGATTATATACGACTACTTCGCGACTCGCTTCGGTGTTGATCTAGCCGGTCCTTCTGGCAGGTTTATACCTGCCAACTGTTAGTGGTTTCGGGACATGGTTGGTAGTTGGAGAGCTTGGAACCATATTTTCGGGTAAAATAGGCAATGCATTGTATTATATACTATCCGCGAGAATTGGGTAGTGAACTATGAGATAACGAAAAGAGTTGGTTATATCTCGGGTTCAGTCGAACCGTCCATACACCAGAACAGTATCTTTTCAATTATATTTTCTCAGTGGATTCTAGTTTCTTTTACAAGGCTCGGGTCATACCAGATAGGATGTTCTTTACTGGTCTAATATTCATGGCAATAAGTGATACATTGATTGGGACACCGTGATCTTCCAAATCCGCCAATATTTTTATATGGGCAATTACGTATTACGTATTAAATACCAAGTAAGGCGTCTATTATAGATGGTATAATTAGAGTGCGGCAAGGCTACATTACCTGGTAACAGCCGAGATGGTCAGTTTTCTAGATATCCATTGAAAAAATCATTGAAAGTTATCTAAAAGGCCGAGTTTATTCAAGCTTGAGAATTGAAGCCAAGTGTCTTTTGACAGATAGTACCTTTTGCTGAGCGACTTCCAAGGTTGCCTTCCATGTTGAAGAGCCGCATAATAATGATTGGCTAAAAGACTATCACGATCCACGCTAGCGTTAGGTACGTTCGGGTTGTTTGATGCACACGTGCATAGTCTTTTTCGAATAATTGCTTAAAGCTTTAAAGCTCTGACGTACATAACGTAACAAATCAAACATTCTTTGTCCGATAAGCTCAAGCTATGACCTAATTTAAGGTTTACATCGTCATTGTGACTTCCAGCTTTGTGTGGGCCAACTTTGTGGCTGTTGCCTTAGTGAATTCTGCCGCTTTGACTGATTCTCAGACAACCTTGACCGCCCTAAGAAGTGCATAAATATCTGGCCTCCCCTCCTCGTCTTCTAGGATTTCTTTCCCTTTTTCTTCTTCATACTTACCTTGTCCGAAGAGTCCTTGCTCAAGCATAAGGACTCTTAAGGGGGGAGACCTGCATTGCACATCGCGGAGTCGACCCTCTTCTATTATCCCTCGTGGATCGTAGTGGGCGCAATTTTTGTTCTCTTTCAAATATTTTGATTTTCATTGTGATCGATGCCTTGCTGCATCGCCATGAGGAAGATCTCGTTAAGTGTTTCTCTAGTTTTATTTCGTAGTTTATAGTTAGCTATCTCTTTTCTCGTTACTTCCTGCTATACATAGTTATCGCTTGTTGATCCAAGTTAAATTGAGGACTCGCCATTTTCGATGTCCAAGATTTCAGCATCAGCTGTTTGGTACGAATTGACGTGTTTTCCACCAAACTATCTATCTACCACAGCCTATGCCTCGTACGCTATTATCTAAGGGGTATTAGCTTCGTTCACCTTGTGTTATATTATTCCGATCTCCTATTACGAGCTCGCTAGATTATCTCTAACATCGGTTGTGGCTTTCGCCTTTTTGAGTCCTCAATCCATTTCTCTATCCTCTCCGTACCGTATCTTAGCTCCACGATTAATAAGCTGAACTCGTCGAGATCCTCAGGGTTTGTCTCGTAGAGTAGCTTCTCTGTCCGCTGTGTGGAGATGAGCACGGTATCAATTTCACGACAACCCTTAGCCCAGGCATACGCCGACGTCGCATCCCATAGGCGGCCATGCATCGTGTTGGGTACGCGTCCCGGACACTCGCTCCACCCACGCTTCATGTGGAGATATGTCTCCTGAAGGTAGTTGGCGACGAGCCACGTGCGCCGCGTGCTCTCGACGAGGATCCAGGCCTTCCAGAGGACGGCATCCTCGGAAATGGCTACGATAGGATAGGATGCTGCAATATTAGCGAGGAAGCGTGCCGGCTGCGTTAAGCTGTTCTTTGTGTTGTCGAGGAGCTGTTGCGTCCAGAGGAAGAGAGTGGGAATCAGCGCCTCGGCTTGGGCTCTCATGCGTATATCGCCATCGAGAAGTCGAATAGCCTGGTACGTTAGTAGCGACTGGACCCTGCATATGTGATCAAATGTGTCCATTCCCTGACCCGCCCTTAGCGAGGCCTCGAAGGTTTGATCCTCTAGCAACTGCGTAACGCGGTCCTCCAACACGCAGGCCATCGTGGCCCTCGTGTCAGCATTGCTGCACGTTGTCATATGATATAGAGCAATAGCTGAATGCGCGTCTTGCACGCACCGCGGCATTTTCTCGCGGTACAACTGGTGGTGGTGCAGCGGGCTGCCGCCGTCCGTCACCCACCGCCGCAGCCAATCCTGAACGCTGTCGATGAAACGTTGGAGCATACGATCCTGAGTAAGCACAGGCTGGTCAAGCGGACATGAAGAATGATCTGTGACCCATGACTCCGGCGCCAGGAACCAAAGACCTGTTGAAACGTCTGATGGACTATTGCCTATTGAGGGCTGTGAATGGTATGCTGTTGCTCGCGAAATCATATCTTCAACAAAGTCTGATTGCGTCAGCTGTAGCGGATAGAAGTTCATGTCATCGTTCCCTATCCGGTCGATATCATGACAAATCATAGGAAGCGGGTTTGCGGAGCCCCCGGTAGTTGCGGAAGGTATTGCGGCGGCCGCATCCGCATCTACGTGGAGGTTGTTACTTTGTCGGGCCGGTGGATATACGCAAGGAATTCCTTTGGTTGCACAACGCCGACACGCCGGCACGGCTTTGGTACATTGCCGTTTGGATTTAGTGCAGCCGACACAAGCTCTTCGCCAGATAGAAGCCATAGTTGGTCGAATAGCAAATTCCTTCATTAGCAACCTTTCCGTGCAAACCCATATATATTAAACCAAAAGGCCCCCCAAACATCTGACATAAGTACGATAATAAGTCCAAGAAATCCAAGGCGGCTTCAGCTTCATTTGTCAGCCCGCAGCGGCGGAGAAATGTGGATACAATTACCATCTACGGAAAGGTATTACGGACTTTAGCCAATGGAAGTTGCGGAAAATAGGGGGGCTCCCCTTTCCGCAACTGCCTTGATCCCACGGGGTGAAGGGGTGAACTGTAGAACGGAACACTACCGACCCCGAGATCCAGTCAGTTTTGAAGGGATATTCGATGTAGCATTCAGCAGCATAATGATGGCATCAGCCAATGTGACTCAACTCGGTCGGGAGTGTGTAAGTGGTGGCATTGAATTCAAAATACGCATATATAATAAGGTCGCGTTCCTCACATTCATTCCTGACTTACATCTCAGCACTCAAGCCTTTGTCAAAGCAAGTCGAAACAGAATACAGCCTCGTATAATTCTATCACTAAACAAGGATTAAACATATATTTGTGCACTAAATCCAATTTTTGCAATCATTGATATGGATTCATTTGTGGATTCGTTTATGGATTCATTTATTAAGAAACTAACCAAGACTTACCACAGGAGTGTTTATCCAGCTGTCACTCCCACCCGCCCCGAGCTCTCTCAGGCAGGAAAAACAGTTTTAATCACAGGCGCTTCGACAGGCATCGGGTACCATGTTGCCAAGTCCTTCGTACAGGCCAAGGCAGAGAAAGTCATCATCCTCGGCCGACGAGTAGACAAAGTCAAGGCCGCCGCCGAATCTCTATCCGCAGAGAGCCAGGGCACTAAGGTGGTCGCTATCCCATGCGATGTTGGTAGTCCTACAGCCGTCGCCGAGCTCTGGGGTCGCCTTGCCGGCGAGGGCACGCGCATCGATGTCCTAGTGCTCAATGCGGCGAACACGGGTATCGTAAAGCCTCTGATGGAACAGGGCTTGGCGGGCGTCTGGGAAGCGTATGACTTTAATGTGCGCGCGCAGTTTGACATGACGGAGCGGTTCTATAAACAGGAGCTAGGCGCCGGTATCAAAAAGGTAAGGCATATATGCATACCTCTCAAAGCCGGGTTGGAGCATGTCACGTTAACTTCAAGGGGGAAAATAGTATCTTATCCACGTGTCGACTGGCGCGGTCCATAACTTCGACGCCACGGCGGTAATGCCGACTTACTCCATGACCAAGCATGCAGGCGCGCTTACATTACAACTCGTAGCGTATGATATCCCTCCGGAGGATATGCAGGTCATCATTTTTCACCCTGGCGCCATCTTCACCGAGGCCGCGGAGAGTCAGGGCTTTACTAAGGATTCCCTGCCTTGGGAAGACGGTATGTCATGCCTAAATATATATCAACCCCTTCCCCCTTCCCCTACTAGAAGCGTCATCAACAATATAGAATGCGCGACTGAAGCGATATAACTAACCTGATATATCACAGTCTCGCTCGCAGGTGGCTTCGCCGTCTGGGCGGCCACTCCCGAAGCTGAGTTCATCCACGGCCGATTCGTATGGGCCGGGTGGGACGTCGACGAGCTTAAGACTGGTGAGCTGGGGAAGCGTCTCAAGGAGGACCCAAACTTCTTGAAATTCGGCGTAAATGGCATCTAAGGGAGGCAGGGATGAACGAAAGGAGAATCAATCTTGTACTTTCATGACAAAATCTCAGTTCAGTCAGAATTAGTTATTTATTCTAGGCGATAAAATTTTTAGTTGAATTAGATTACCTCTACCAATCTCTTGCTGATGTATTACGTGCTTGCTACTTCTGTAATATAGGGGCTGTAAAGGCTATCCGCATTGAGAAAATAAACCAAATATGACATGAGGCGAATCAACATGTAAAACTGTATGTCATAACACGTAATCTAAACATCGAATTATACATTAGCGATCACGTCCAGAGCGCACCCTATGCACATCACCATCCATCCACAATCGTAGCATAGACTTGCATCCCTCTAACCGGTCTAGCAGTGATGCCGCCCCTGATTTCTATATTCCTCTCGTCCTCTTCCTCCTTATTCTTCAGCGAGAACTCAAAACGACCGACCCAAGACGCCAACAGGCAAGCGAACTCGGCCTTTGCAAAGGATAGGCCGATGCAGCTCCTGGGCCCGTGGAGGAACGACAGGAAAGCATAGTTGCTTGTAGCACCGCCGCTGGCGGCTTTCTTGTCATCGGGACCCTTCGGCACCCACCGCTCCGGGTTGAACTCGTGCGCGTCGGGTCCCCACATGCCTTTATCGAAATTAGTCGCCCACGGCGATATAACAATCACGGTTCCCTTAGGCACCTTTTGCCCTGCAAGCACAGTGTCCACGGTGGCCTCGCGAATCGTAAGCGGCACCGGAGAGTAGTAGCGCAAGACTTCGTTGCAGACGGCGTTGAGGTAAGGCATGTGGTCGATATCAAGACTGGTGACTTCTCGGTCTGAGTCGATCGGCGGTAGCTTCTCACGGATTTCGGCACGGAGCCGCTTCTGGATATCCGGATTCTTAGCAAGCATGTATATACCCCACGTCATCGCAGTGGCTGTAGTTTCGTGGCCGGCGGCTAGAAAAGTCATCAACTGGTCGACAAGATTCTCTTCCGTGAAACCGCCGGACTCTAAGGCGACGGAAAGTATGTCACGTTCCTTGAGCTCGTTACGTGCCAACTTCTCCTTTTTTTCTCGAATCAGATCCCGACATATACTTCTAATTTTCCTTGATGCTGTGTATACATTGGTGTTGCGTTGGACAGGAAGCTTAGACAATATCCATTCTGGGATGAATATTGCTAGAAGAGAGAGGATCTGGCCTTGCCTGGAAACCTTGAAGACACTTCGATACGTCTGATTGAGTTCATTTTCTGGGTCTTGGATTGCACCAAAGTCTCGTCCGAGGCCTGAAGCGCCAATAATGTCTAGGGTCACGCGAGATGCCCAAACACTGACGTCCAGGACTCCAGTCTTCTTAGCCTTCTCGGGGTCTGCCACAGACGTCTCTTTCTGCGCATCGGCGATAATGCTGCTTGTCATAGCCTGAACACATTCGCGGCCCTTTTGCCAGAAGCTTGGGTAAAGCTCCTTAATGTGCCGGAATGCAAAGGCCGGGAGGAGGTTTCTACGTTGAAACTTATGCTCGTCGCCCTCCGCTAGAAGTATACCTACGCCTAGAAGACGGCTAAGACCAAATCGAACGTTTGATGGCTTCTGGAAATCATAACTTCGCGCCACTAAGAGGTCTGCCAGGGCTTTTGGCCCTGTCACGAGGAGACGTTCTGTGTTGAAAATGAAACGATATAAGATGAGGCCATCATTTGGAATATTAGTAGCCCTTAATAATGCATTAGCTGGATATCACAACGAATCGATTGCGTATATACATACCACTCTCTCATGGGTATACCTGTAGGCTTCTCTCTTATTTCTTTAAAATGCCCGTTGATCCAAGAGCCACCTTTCGGTCCTGGTAGGTGACGTAGCGGGGAAAAGTAAAAAGGGTACAGAAATATATTCCAGATACCCACGAAGAAAGACTGTAAGATCCATGTGGAGACGAAAGTGCCAAGGAGTTGTGATATACTCCACGGTGGCTGACGAGATGTAATAAAGTAAGTCGAAATAAGAGATATAGCAGCGACAACCCGCCAAGGGAACGCCATCTTAGGTACCGTATAATTCGAGATAGCGTAGTTGATGTTGCGATGACTGATCCTCGAAAAGTATAGAGTGCAACGATGTATATAAAGATGAACGTGACCTCAGGTCGTAGGTCTTTATTAAAATGGACGGATCAGGGGCGAGCCGAACCAAAAGCCATGCACTACCGAAGCCGATCCTACGAACGTCCAAGCGGCGGCTAGAATAATAAATTGTATTGGACGACGGGTTAAATAATAACAATAACTTGGTACCGCCGGGTTATATGTTGAAAATGTCGTACGAAAATCCTAGCACTGACTAATAGGACTCAAGCAAGTTGTAAGTCAATTTTCGTAGTTGACAAAGAGCGTGCGGCTGATTAAATAGTTAAGACTTAACCCCCAGCTAGGAGGATTTGAAGTCTACGCCGCTAGCAAAGTAATAGGAGTGCGGAGTTTATAGAAATGACCGTGTTGGCCAGTGTAGTTGTCGTGACCTCGTAACCTGAAGTGGAAAGTATCAAAAATGTCCGGAGCCGTGGAGTGGAGGTCTTCTTTATTTAACGTCAAGAGTTGATTACTGTAGCCCGTTACTGCGGTAAGGATACTGTACATAATAGGATCTCAGATGATCTAGTGAAAACGGGGTGAAGCGAAACCGAGACTAGCCAGCCCACCAACTAGAACTTGAAACTGCGGGTAAAGCTGCAGGGATTCTTTAATAAATTCTACTTGATGTTTTACAGAATAAGTTGGACAAAAAACAAAAAGGGTGGGAGCTTTTGATAATCGTCTGCCTAGGACTACCTATTCTCAGAGGGGACGCGTAAGGTGCTTCATCATCTTCTGACTTGTATCGTATCGTATCGCTTAATTAACAAGCCAAAGGCGAAGGAGTTCACTCACGAGTCGGGCAAATTCCTGGGAGTTGGACAATACGTAACCGGGGACATTTGAGCGATTAAGAGACCGGAGAAGGCCTGAAACCCTGATAGGTAGTACATGTAGAAGGCTACCGTACGTAGGTAGGTACTGTCATGATGACTTGAATACTTCATTAGGCTAGGCGGCCGAGGTACACTAGAAAAGCTTCCACATAGGGCTTTTTAGTCGGTTGTTACGGAGAGAATGATATGCGGATAGGCCGACCCGGTGTAATTGAAGACGAAGTCCATTCTCTATTCGGATAGATTCCACGAGGTTATTTAATATTACCATGTGGCTAACCAACCCTCTAGGCCCCGCCGACCCGGACATGTCGGTAAGGATGTTCGAAGATGGGAATTGTTACGATTGGATAACCGTTTATAGATGTTTGGATAGTAAAGTAACTATTATGTTTGGGTAGGAGGATGGGGGTGGGATTCTAATAAATTGTGACATCTAATAAAATAATACTACCAACTTACACTAGGTAGCTAACGAAATCAACAGGGATCTATCAATACAAATTATTATCGATTTTATTGGCTCACCCATACGTCTACTTCATCATCTCGGTATACATATGTAGATGTTCGATACAAAAGTTAACAAGAAACATCAAACAAACAACAAGCTGACATACCACAATATTAAAATAATGCTATATTCCACAGCCATCTAATTTATATTTTCAAGTCTGCAATACTCCAAACGGCCGGAACAACGTCTACCGTCATTGGATCATATGCGCCCAACCGTGACAACATGCAGGAATATGTTTTCTCCAAGCCTACCTATTGGGCGAGATGGTAGAACAAGGGCGCGAGCCACCGACAAACATTCGTGCGGGAAGCTCGCCATCGCACAGCAGCCTAGGTTAGATACATAAGCAGCAAACTTGTCAATATTACAAGTACTTAGACGTCTTCACGATATTTCGAGTACCTCTATACGTAACATCTCTTTAACTCGTAGCCGGGCTGTAATCCAAGGATGTCGTCTCCAATAGCCAAGATCGGCATAATCTCCATCGGAGACATGGGCATGGGCATCGCCAAGCTGCTCGTCGCCAATGGATTCTCAGTAGCGACCAACGTCAAAGGTCGAAGGTCAGTTACCCCTCCTCCCTTCCCCCCCCTCTCTCTCTCCTAAGCCTCATACTTAAAAATATATTATAACAGCAACGACACCCTCGACCGAGCCAAGAGCGCACAGATCGAGCTCCTCAACTCAGACGAGGCCCTAACCCAGCAATGCTCCGTAATCCTATCCATCGTGCCCCCCCGCGACGCCGCCGCCACCGCGCAGCGCATCGTAGACGCCGTCTCGGGACCCCTGCGCCGCGCCGAAGATAACCCGCTGTACTTCGCGGACTTGAACGCCGTGGCGCCGTCCAGCGTAAAGCGCATAGCCGCCCTATTCGACCAGCGGCTCTCCGTGCGCTTCATCGACGGGTCCATCCTCGGGCTGCCGCCGGCGCCCAAGAGCACCGATAGTAGCGCTGAATGGTCACTTCCCCGGATCCCAACGTCCGGCCCGCACCAGCTCTCCGAGATCCCGGGCTTCGGAGCCAAGCTCGCGGCAACGCTGAACACGCGCCACGTCTCGCCCGAGATCGGCGCCGCGAGCGGGCTGAAAATGTGCTTCGCAAGCTTCAGCAAGGGCTTCACGTCCATCGCCATCCAATCCTTCACCACGGCGCACCGGCTAGGCGTGCTCTCCGATCTGCAAGGGGAGCTGCAAGCCGTGCTGCCTCGGCACTACGAGCTAGCGGAGAAAGAGGTAGTAGGCATGGCGCCGAAGGCGTACCGCTGGGTAACCGAGATGGAGGAGATCGCGCATACGTTATCCGAAGAAGGCGGGTTCGCGCCAGACTCGTTCCTCGGTGCGGCGAAGGTATATCGGACCGTGGCGGACGATACCGTGTTAGGACAGGAGAAGATTGGGAAGCGGAAGAGGGGCACGACGGTGGAGGATGTGGCGGCGGCGGTGGCGGAAGGGTTGCAGACGAAGCGGAAGAAGAACGATTAAGGGACGTAGGAAGATACGTCCGATGGCATTTACTGAAGGCCATGCTACAACTTAGAGAGCTAAACGTGCTTACTTGGATAATTTAGAGGTACAATAGGAAAGCCCTGTAAGACCCCCAATAGAAATAAGGAGGACAAAAATCACAATGGTTATGTTGAGTACATTATATAACCCGAAACGCAAAACACTCTCATTTCTCTAGCCGGTTGGGATAAGCTATAGCATGTATACAAATATGAGGGATGTTTCTTTAGGAGCCGATTATTCGATCATATCCACATCATCAATAGCCGAGACAATGGCGCCAGCCGTCTCGGCCGCTGGAGCTGCGTCGTTACTGCCGCTCGGGTTAAAATAATCAGCCATTTCGGCATCAAGCTCCTCCTGTGTCTTCTTTGGGCGCCCATTTCGGCCAACCCGCTCTCGCCCATTTGGCGTACCGCCACCTTCACGCCCTTCACGTCCCTCGCGACCTTCGCGACCCTCTCGTCCTTCACGTCGTGCTCCAGGTCGTCTCCCGCCGCCGCCGCCGCCACGTCGGCGAGGAAGAGGGCTACGGGATCGACTACCACCACCTGGCACGTAGCGATCGACACCTCGGTCTCTCTCAGAATACCGTCTAGGTGAGAGAGAGCGCGGGCGGGTGATACGCTCGGCCAATGATCGACCAGGCATGTGCGCAGTGTCGAAGGGGTTGCGCCGGGGTGGTGCCGATGACAAGACTGACAAACGGATGGGCTGACCTATACGATATTGGTCAATCTTCAATATTTTTATCGTGGGAACCTTTTCTTTCTTTCTCTTCTTACCCTTGGCATTGGCATTATCGTACTGCTTGATTGCCTCCATCGCATCGTCGCGATTCTCATACGTGATAAAGGCTGTGCCCTCAGAGCGTCCAGCACGGTCGTACAACAGCTCCAGCTTGACTACTGGACCGATCTTGTTGAACAACCCCTAGAACCACGTCAATACACCTCTCCAATCTGCTATAATCATGGTATTTCCCTTACATCGAGATCGTCTTCGGTGAGCTCGTAGTGCAAATTCTCTACCTTGACCTTGGTTCCACGAGTCTCCCTAGCATTGATATTAGAATATTGCTTTTTTGAACGTAAGGGCTTACACTAACTGGAATCGATCTGGAGAACGTCGTCTCGGGTGTCGCGGGCGATTGCGAGCTGAGAAATTGTTAATCCTCGTAATTCGACGCTTGGGTTGAGAGCTCAACTTACAGCTAGGATCATCGAATTTATCGTGAACCCACTCCCTGCATGTACGTTAGTGCTTGTCGCCCATGTATGAAATATAGAGCAGTGTACTTACGAATCCAAGTTTCTCGAATCATCTCTGGTTGACTGTCTCGTAGAACGAGATTGCTAGTTAGCTGCTGTCACTGAACGAATATACCATCACCGATCGAAGACCGTGACATCGAGCGCAAGTCGATTGCATTGCGGGAGGCTCGAGATAGGGAGGTGGGTGGTCGAGAAGGGAGAGGAAGAAGAATCCACCTATAATAGGATACTAGTTAGCTTAATAGATATTTTATATATATCTGTGTTTGGTATATTACCTTTCTTACACCGTCGCGGGGATAAGAGTCGCGCTCTCGAGGCCGGCCGCCGCCACCTCTACGAGGTCTGGAACCTCGTTTTCTGTGCTGCACTTGAAGTCAGCAGGCCAAATATAATTGATGGCATATAATTGATGGCATTGATGGCATTGATGAATATAGCATTAATTTCATTCGTACCTGAGACTCAGCAACGATCTCGTCAAGACTGCGATCCATTGTAATGCTGTTGTAAAAATGGATGTTTTGGTAAACGTCAGCGATAAAGTTAGACGCGGCTTCGCACTGAAGAATATAGGAAGTACATAAGGTAGGTACGTGTTAGGTCGTACAGCATTGTAGCGCTAGAGCTTTGACGTTATTTTCTTACCGATAAGTGAGCTGGTGAGAAGCTAAGGTGGATAAGCTGCATACGTCTAGCCTAATTGAGAAATAAATGGCTACGTGTATTAGGCACTGTATGGATACTGTACGTCACCGCCAAATAGGGGCAAACTTTTACGAACTTTACGACTTTTACTTCTGCATGCTCCCAGGATAGCTTCCAATTGGCTTGTCGTAACAATACTCCAGTCCTTGAAACTATGCACACATGTTGTACAGTATTGTTATCCTTCTCTTTGTATTAATTTAGCTGAGGTACTTCCTTTAATTGCTACCAAAGCTTTTGTTCATAAGAGAAAAGAAGCTCGTGGAAGGTCGACTTTTGTGGTGAATGATTGAGGCTGCTTAGTGGTTTCGCTCGCATGAGGCAAATTAGTAGCCTTTAAGAAAACTCCAGTCTTCGATACTACCCCGAAGTGACTGTCGATGATATCGACTTTATCTGATAGGCTAGCGGAATCGGGCTCTTGGTCGCTATTTTCAACCACGCCGATGGCCGTTGTTGGTGTAATCTTCTGGCTTAGCTCGATTTCTTTCTTCGTCCAATGCGGTTCGATGCAGAACATGAGATATGAACCAGGTGTTACAAGGCCCTCAGATGAGTTAGGATTGTTACGTTCATGAAATGCTCTTATGAATATTTCAACATCATCCTGATCTGGCAACGAATAGCTTATCTCTGGGTCGAGCGAGAGTAGTCCTTGTTTGAGGCCCCAGCCTCCTCCTCCACTAACTGCGTATTCGTTAGCTTGATTGTTCATCCTTAGACAAACCTGTCACGTACGAATTTTGTGCAATCGGCACCCAGAAGATAGTAGCTCAGAAAACACATTCATGGCCTCAAGCGATAGTTCCGCTTCCGACTGGGATAATTTAGCTTCGAAGACTTTTAGGCCAAGAAGGTTATGCTTTTCCATAACATCCGGAGGTATGACCCAACACCATACTCCGATAGGTCCGGGTGAGTATGACTTGTCTCGTTCAGACCTCGTGTCAAAAACTTTCGGTATTAGAGACTCTAGCTCCTTTGATGCCGGTGTTGTAGTACCGTTGACTTCGACCTGTCGAACGATATTACCTAACCCAGCAACAATCTTCCGAGGGGGAGTCAACGGTAACAAAGGTAGGAATGGCTTTGTATAACCCTCCGAGGCAGCACGGAGACATATCCTTTGATGTTGTTTCTCCTCTATGTTAGTACGCGCCATAGAACCCTCCTCATCACGCTGCCATCTGCTTGCAATTAGGGTGGATCGTCTCCCATTTTGGAAAATTGTATTTGCTAGCGGTAGTGTGATTTCGAGCGGCCTGGTATCCTTAGGTAGGGGATCTGATAGGAACGACACGGAAGACCCTCTATCCTGGCTGATGTTTGATCCAAATTCGTCGCCGGACCATATGCCGGGGAGAATGTCGTTCGAGCCATATAATATCGAGAGACCTGTCCGAGGCTCGCTGAATAGTCGTGTTGGAGTAAGTCCGTCTGTTACCGCACACAAGACACTGATGGGGGTTGAATTATCTTGCATGCTAATCGTCGACTTAAAGAGACCCCCAAGCACGCTACGTACAAAGTTCTCGTCTTCTAACCAGGTTGCGAAGTCGCGGGAAGCAAAAATAGCTGCCCCATGACCGAAGTTTTCTGCACTCCGTACACTTGTAGATACTTTAGGCGAACCTACAGAATGGTTATATAACCTATCTATGACCGTTTGCTATGTCTATGTCAATAAAGCTCTATAGTTTTAGGATATATCAAACTGACTTTTGTAACCTTTGTCGATAACGTAAGACTAATCTTTTCAACTGTACAAGGTTGACTTCCAAAGCTTCGTTTATATAAACCATGGTACCTAGTCGTAATACGGCAGTTAAATATACGAGGCCGCATATTGTTAAGACTCCCGGATCATCGCTCTCGACTGTCTTTTTAGTTGATATATGAGAGCTATAATAATTTGTAGGTAGGTAGGTTGGACTGTCTAAACGACTGTATTCCCGGAGTTTTGTATTGGCCAATCACATGTAATTGCTAATTGCACCTTATCCATAAGTTGTGGCTGATACATGTATCTCATAATTCATCATATGTTAAGTACCTAAACTATTCATCTCCTTCATCAGCTTCCTGAATACTTAACTTATGACATCAATTGAGGAATGTGTTATACGTAGGTACCTAAGGTAAAGTACCCAAACTAAGAAGTTGTCAACAAGTTTTAGGGATACCGCATTCTTTGTTAAATGATAAGCGTCAAGCATTTCCCATTAGTGGTACTTTGTGGCGTTGCTTTTACCAAGAAAAATGAGGAAAGGGAATAAACTTCAGCTGCGTTTCTACGAGATCCCCACTGCCTGTTGTCCAATTAGGGTCTAATTAGGGTCCAATTAGGCTGTCGTGGTCCCTTACACTGCGCTTATGGCAAATGCCTACCTACCTACGGACTGACACTTAGCTTGAGCAATGTCCCTACATACATAAGTATTGATGCGCCTCGACGGCGTCGGCGCATCCTATCTAGCTCTACAACCGTCTTTTTGGAACCCCATCAATTCAATTTTATAATCCAATGGCGGACCTGACTATCCGTAACCTCACAATCACTCCGCTGGAGCTTAAGCTTGTAGAGCGGTTTGAAGGGCAACCCTCATCCGGTCGTCATACCCCCGTCGGTAATATCACGAGCAGGATCACCGGTATTTTCAGCTCTACATCCGTTGCGTCTAATGTCCGCATCCAGGGTGAGGCTAGGGACCGTCGTGATGTTTCTATCACTATCGGACGCTTTGAGACCCAAGTTACGGATGTTCGTGCGGCCGACCCGGGCCGAGAAGTCCTTCGCTTGACTTTCGAGTCCGAGGGGCATCGATATCAAGTAGACGTGCCAAGTGCTTCGCAGCGTAGCACGGTTATGACGAAGCTAGATAATGCCACCAACGAATACACAACTATCTACGTACAGGCCAGCAGTTGTCTTGCCATATTCAGTTCCACTAACCTCTCGAGTTGGATGCGTGAGCTACGCGACGAATACCCTTTATCGGCTCTGTCCATACCGGGTACACACAACAGCCCGACTTGCCACGTCGCACTGCCTTCAGTCCGATGCCAAGCGGTCAATGTGCGTGAACAACTAGAGAATGGTGTGCGGTTCTTCGATATCCGTGTAAACGTCAGCGCAGATTCTTCGGAACTGGCACTTGTGCATAGCGCGTTCCCCATCTCATTAACGGGAAGCAAATACTTTAAGGATATGCTAGATGTTATTTACTCGTTCTTAGACTCTAATCCGTCTGAGGCCCTTATCATGAGCGTGAAGCGCGAAGGTACCGGTAAAGGCACCGACCAGCAGCTGTCCAAGATCCTCAAGGAGCGCTTCTACGGGGATGGAAAACGATGGTACACAGAACCGCGTATTCCAAAGATTAGCGAAGTACGAGGTAAAATCGTGCTACTTAGGCGGCACCATAACGACCCAAGCCTGAATGGCGAATGGGGAGGTCGAGGATGGGCACTCGATGGTAGTGTCTGGCCGGACAACTGTGAAAATGGACTGCTTGGAAGTGGCATTGCTCGTATACAAGATTTTTACGAGGTTGACCAGAATAAGAACATTCAAACGAAAATTGAATTCGCGCGAGAGCATCTTGAACGAGCAGCCGAACAAGTGTACCCCCTTCCAGGACGTGAAGGCTATAATGAGAACGCACCGGCCCAGCCCTTCTATGTGAATTTCTTAAGTGCCAGCAATTTCTTCAATACTAACTGTTGGCCCGAGAAGATTGCGGCCAAGGCAAACCCAGCCATCATCGAGTATCTATGTTTACGCCACGGGGTGGATGGAAAGGGGCCGAAAGGCCTGAAGGTGGGTGATGGGAGCACTGGCGTGGTCGTTACGGATTGGGTTGGTCAAGATGGCGACTGGGACCTTATAAGATGCATTGTCGGTTGGAACGCAAGATTGCAATTAAAGCAATAGTCTTTGGTCTAAACTATACCCCCCAGTGGCTTTCTTGAGTTTGGTAACTGATGTGTCTTGAAAATTCACTCTACACTTGGAGAGAATATATAGATAGAATAGACTTGGGTATTAACTACTCGGATGACTTAGAGATATCTCGGCTACTTATAGATATTAAAATACACGCCATGTTATATTGATAACATCTAATACTATAACTAAGATAAAGTGCTTACTTACCTATGTAAGTAACTGGTATAAGTGAAATCGTCTAGTTATCTAAATGACGAAACTTCTTTTCCTTTCTCTTTTAACATTTGAGCTGGAAGATCTAAAGTACTAAACTAATAACCATTTTCTTTATATTAACTCGGTCCGAAGTAAAACGAGGAAGATAATTCTTATCGTCGAAACAACATGCGTCATTTATATTAAATGATATGAAATATAAGCCGAAATGATAAGATAATTACTGAGAGGAAGCTTATGATGTCTTGTTTGCTTTAATTTCTGCGGTGTTACAGCCCTCGAGAAACATTTCGGAGGTTCCGGCCAATGCTTTTGCACATGCTAGCGCGATACGTCATATTGATACTTAGACCGATGAGCTGTAAGCTAAGCCCCACTGCAACTAAAATTACATACCTACAGCTGCCTTACTTTATCTCAGTAAACTCAGACCATAAATTCGATATTGTTCGTAAGGTTGTACCTCCTTTAGCCACACTACTTTTCAACCAATCAAAACCCGGAACAACTTTTTAAAATAATATCGAATTTATAATTTAAAATAAGTTTAAAATTTTACATATTAAAATTATATGTTTAACGTTTTAAAATAATAATATTAATAATATTAATAATATTATTAAAATAATAATATTAACGCGTGTTTATAATAAATAATAATTAATTATATAATAATTATTAATTTTATTATTAAATTTATTAATTAAATTTATGCGTTTTAAATTTTTTAAAATATTAAAAATAATTATAATAACGGTTATAACGTATTAATTGTAATATTAATTATAACGGTAACCGTAACGCGTAATAATAATTATAATAAACGTTAAAATTTAAAAAAAAATTAAAAAGTTTAAAAAATAATATTATTAACTTTAAATTATTAAAAAAAAAAAAATTTATACGTAATTATAAAATATTAAATTATTATATTTAAATACTTTATATAAAACTTAATATTAAATAATTAAAATGTTAAAAATTTTTAAACGTTAAAACTTAATATATAAAAATATAATACCGTATAAATATATAAAAAAATTAAAAAAATAAATTAAATATATTATTAATTTTAAATTATTAAAATTAAAACTATTTCGTATATTATTATAATATATTAAATTATTATAAATATAATATTTGATTTTTTTATTATTAATAAAACCGTTAAAAACTTTTACAACGTTATATAACTTTAAATTAAATATTTTCGAATGTTTTACTTATAACCCATAAATATAAACATATAAAACACGCGTTGCGTAACGCAAGTAAACGTAACCCGTTTTGAAAAAAATATCTGGTTTAAAGTCACTTAAAATAAACCTTATTAATGTTAGGTATTATACGGTTAACTAAAGCGATAACTGTAATAAAACTTTAAAATAAATGATGCGTATACCCTATTTTAAATGGGAACGGATATAACGATTATATATTTTCGGTATATTATATAAATACTTATAAAAATATTAATATCCGGGCTTTTTTTTCCATTAAAACTTAAGTTTAATTAATTAAATAAAAAAACTTTATTATTAATTTAATTTTTTATTATTATATATATTTAACACATTATATATTTAAATAATTTTATAAAATTAATAATTAAAACATTATAATTAATATTATTAAAAAATTTTAATTAATACGAAATTAATAATTTAAATTATATGTTTATATAATGTATATTAAATATTATATTATTATTAAAATATTTAAAGTTTAATTAAAAAAACTTTATAAAAAATGTTTATAAAAAATGTCACGTGTTTATTTTTTTTTTTAAACAATCGTTATTTAATTTTATTATAATATAATAACGAAAAAACCGATTTAAATGTAATTTAAATTATTAATTTTAAATTAATTAAAATTATTAAATGATATTAATTATAATGTTTAAATTATTATTATTATAAAGTTATTTAAATGTATATAAAAGTGTTAAATTTATATATTTAAATTTATAATAAAAAAAAGTTTAATTGGTTAAATTTAAACTTTTATAAAAAAAATAACTTAAATAACCGAAAAAGTTATTTAAATATTAATGTTTTTTATATATATAATTATATATTTTTTTTTTAATATTTTTATTAATTTAAAGTTTAATTGCGTGTAATTTAAACTATATTTTTACCGATTTTTTTATTTAATTAATTAATAAACATCATTATTATAATAATTTATATAAATTATTAAATAAATTATTATATTTATTTTATTTATATGTTAATTATATTATTAAAATAATTTATAAAAAAGATTTTCTTTTTTTTTTTAATTTATTAAATTTTATATTAAATAAAATTTTTTAATTAGTAATTTTACTTTAATAAACAGTTTTTAAGCTATTAATATAATATTTTATATTTAATAAAAAATATTATATTATTTTTTTATTTCTTTTTTTATTATTTTTTAAATTTATTTGTTATAACGGTTAAAATATGAAAAATTATTATAAACTTACCTTTTTAAAAATTATATTATTAATGCCAAGATTTTTATACAATATTTTAATATTATTAAAAATATATTAAAACTTTAAAATAATTTTATTAAAAAATCGAAAATAACCTTTTATTAAAAATAATAAAATATAATAATAATAAAATATAATATAATTATTTATTTAAATTTAATACCTTTAAATCATTTATATATTTATACTTTTAAATTATTTATATATTTTAATTAAATTTTTAATTAAAATTAAAATTAATTTATTTTATATTATTTTTATTTTTATTATATGGTATTTTTATTTTAATTAAAAAATTATTTTTTTAATTAAATTAAG